ATAATAATAATAATAATAATAATAATAATAATAATAATGTTTCTTTATTAGCCCTATACAATTTCTTGCATTAGGAATTCATCTTTTTGCATACCGCAGCTTTTCTCCATGGAGACACAGACAGGAGGAAATCCAAAGGAAAGCCAAACAAAGGTGAGAATTAAGTCAGATAAGGAAAATCACTTACTATACCTTTTAATGAAAAAATACATTTCTGAACAATCAAAGTGAATAAATAAAAAGAAGATATATTGTAAAATGGATGTAAGAAATAGTTTTGCTTTTTCTCCATTCATTCATAATTTACAGTACATTGTTAATGATAATGATTAAGGAAATTATGTCCAATATACAGTATATACAGTACTGTATATTCCTCTTTATTTTAGAAGTCACATTAATTCTTCTGTATTGATATGTATACTAATGTCAACCTTGTTGCTGTCTAAAAGGTATCAGTGATCATTTGAGCATGTTTATTTTTAATGTCTTTTATTCCCAACATGTTTATTTACTATGAGGGACACGTATATTGTATAATCTGTAGGAAGTATACTGTACAGTATATCGAGGAGTGAAAAATAGTGTCTTTCCCAGAAGATCTTTGACTCACCATTAAAAAATGTTAATCTTCAAAGCACCACATGAGGAAAATGTTATGTCAATTCTGTTAGACGTCTGTCAGAACTCAATATTTGAGAGTACAGAATACACTGTATGATATTTCAAACACATCTTTGCATAGATAAGTATTACACTACATACAGTTGATTTACACTTTGGACATAATCTGTTAGGTGAGTTAATTTTACCATGTGTGTTTAAAACAATGCCAGTGGCAGATCTGTATACCTTACAGTCTGTGCTGGTCTTATTTTCACATCACAGGCCCATCAATGGCAGCCACAGAAGTATACATTTGTTACACTTCTTAATAATTCATCTGGAAAATTGAAAACATTATTTTTTACTAGTCATCTAAATATATGGAATATAAATTGATTTTGAGTGAGAGAGTGAGAGATTTTGAGTGTGCTAGGATCGGATTTATGTAGTTTATAAATTAGATTTTTAAATGTTGTAGTTTGAGAGCAATAAAAAATACACCAAAATAGTAAGTGTAACTATGCACATGTACAGTGTTCGAGAGAATACTGCAGAACTGAATATTTTAAATTTATACAGGAGTAACAGCAGTTTTGTTAAATCATATAATTCAGCCAGCTGTGCGTATGCAGTATGTCATTCATTTTTAAAATATTTCTGCATACCCTGCATAAGAGGTGTAAGATATCTGATGATTCATATGAGACCTGGATTTCTGAGATGAGACATTAGGTTAGAAAACGTGAGTAAAATATGTGATCTGGAACTGCAGCCTTGGTTAAGCTATTGGTTCAAGCTGTTGTTCTTCTGCTTTATAATGAGGCTATAAAACTTCTCTATTGTTTTAGAAAATAGGTAGAGAAAGTTGCAGCTGAGTATTGGTGTTCTCAATACTCCTCACGTGCATGAAAGGGGAGGTGTGATTAATTTAAGTATTTTGCTTTTTCTTTAACAGCTCGGAAGATACAGTACATACTTTTGTTTTACTCTTTTTGGATTGCCCCTAAGATAAAATAAATCTCTTCTATTATGCAAGTGTTTAAATGACTAGCAAAAGAGAACGCAATGAAATCCACTGTTTGAATGTATAATGAAAATAAAACAAAATATTGGAAAACAGTTAGAATTACTAATAATATTTAAGATAATATTTAGAAAACTTGTACCAAATAATTGGATCTGAGAAGCACACAGATATAGTATTTATTTAATTATTTCAAATTAGATAAGCTTCTGAACTATTTTTATTGTTCTTAATAGAGGCAATTCTATCAGGTTTCACTCTTAGTATTTTACCAGGAAAATGCAGAAAAACCAAATAGTCTCAGACAAATCAAGCTGGTCATTGAGAACAAACATTCAGGATTCAAGTGAAATAAATCAACTCAGCTTTGTCTGACCAATTTTAACTGATGTACAGTATAGAAGGCCCTCCACCCTAACACTGAGAGAAAAAAATCTAAGCCTTGACTAGCAGTAACACACTTAAAATTCCACACATCCACACGTCTAAACAAAGTTTTTTTAAAAGACATTACTTTTCTTAAAAATATATCTTTACTATATACTATACACCTACTGTCTGAATTGCACTGTGTAGACTACAGTATATAGTGTACACAATGCACACTAGTCTTTTTTATGCAGGAGTTTTAATGCATATTCTTTTACAGAGAGAAAAAGTAAGGGAACATTTTTATGTAATTTAATGTTGCTCAGAAGATATAAATCCTGGTAAAGAACACAGAATGGAAATAAGATCACTCCAGCTGGACAGTGTTGTTTGATCTAACACTTATTTTAAGTTTATTTTTTTTTAAGATTCAGAGTATTTGTTTGAACTCATTAATTGTGTTTTCAATGAAGTGTTGGTTAAGTGTGTAATATCAGGTTGATGTTCATGTGAACTCTCATCTTTGCTAAATAAATTACTTCAGATGCTTTTCTTGTTAAATAAGTAATTATAGATGTGTTTTTCAGCAAACAAATTTAATATTGTGAAAAACTCCCAAAATGCATGTTTAATGTTGTTGTTCTGAAACACATTCAGAATTTATTTGCATGTTTTTACAAATTCAGATAAAATAAAATTCAGATTTCATGTCTGTTTTCAAGAATATGGTAAATACTTTAACGTAGTCAATTTCACAAGCATGGTAAATATTCCTATGCAGTTCTTATAGTAAAAAAAAATGAGTGTTCCAATATCTTTAGCTCTCTTCTTGCTCCCCCTTGTGGATAAAATAATATAATTTTAAAAGGTAACACACCAGTGCCCCAGTTGATGCTTGATTTTACCAACGGACAGGGGTGAGCTGTGGCATGCAGAACCCTGTGGTGCCCATGTCTAAAATTAGTTACACCCCTGACATCTAGTTTGGCATCTACTCCATGTTCGCTTGTTGCTTTGGGGTTCACATTACTGCCTGTCTCATTGTGAGGTCTACAGGCCTGAGTAAAAGGCTCCTGAAATTTAGTAAATGTATCTTATTTATACATTTTATTTTATACCACTTAAATAAAGCACTAACAACTGAAAAGGGAAATTAATAAGACCGCCCTTGTAATGGTTGAGAAGCTTACTAAATGCTACAGCAGCTACGAATTTCAGTTCTCAGAAGTGGGTATTTCAGTAAGTTAAATAGCACAAATATCTAACTGCTATGCAGCTACTGTACATTTAAGATAAGATGGGCTTTTTTAGAGATAATTTCACTGAAACGTTCAGTAAGCCTAAAAATAGATTTCAAAGCAAAATATTAGAATACTGGAGAATACTGGAGCACGTGATTAGCAACAACCTAAATAGAAGGTAAGATGAAGGTGTTGCTCTGTTTTTTATAAAGAGGTGATGTTAAAAAGACTAAGTACTCAAGCATGCAATTGTAGAAGAGAACAGAAGACAAACGAAATAGGTCATAATAATGCGATATAGTCAGATTTTGGATCAGCAGAAAAACAACCACTGCCCTCAAACCTACTTGTTTCTGGACATGCAAAGGTTTTTAATCATGGTATTTCTTTTTTTTTTTCCTTTTCCAATGAAAGTTTGTCCACGTGAGTTTATGGCACATGCATCTTCCGCAATTATCCCTGCTTTAATATACAGTGCACAGTAATGTTCATTTTTGGCCTCAAGATGCTAATAAAACTCAATGAATGCACCTTTTTAATCATACCGTTTATGTGTTGAATTAACTTTATAACTAAGTAAATGAATTGTTATTAGTAAACTAATTGTCATTAGTTGAAATGACAAGAGTAAAACTGCAGGAATGGGTAAATTTTAATTCTGAAATCTCTGTGTCTGTGTGCACTTTTGTGTGTATTATAAATGCTCTTCGGATCTGGAAGAAATAATCAAGATAAACAAGTTTGTCCTTCACTCTTTTACAAAACCTTTTCTCATGCATTAATCCACAAAATAAGACAGTTCAAGGAATAAAACATCAAAGCCATTATCCAACAGTGTATCTGTTCTTCTGTAAGTAAAGTTTTCTGTCTGTACTATAATAGGCAGGTAACGTCAAGAAGGTGGACAATGGTCTTTATAAAAGACGACAAGACGAACGTGAACAGATTGTAACAGTTTTACCAGAAACCTGCTGTACATGTTAGCTAAAGAATTGAGTAGGAAATACCGTATTCCTATTTTAGAGCGACAGAATTTGGAGAAGCGATGCCTCATAACCGAACTGTTTTCATTTTCTGTGGTTGGTCAAAAGAAAAAAAAAACAGGCCTATATGACCTTAATTGTTTCATGCTCGGCCTGAATTCATTTGCTTGCACTGGGCATTGACATGATTCTCCTTAACACATGTCTGTTGAATGTGTGGCTCTGTGTGACATTTCTTCACCTCGCCAACTGTAAGTTTTTTTGTTTTTTGTATATAATAAACAAAGAGAAATAACTTGCAAAATTAAAAATATTTTCTAGACCTGCATAACAAAAAACACTGACTTTTTGATTTTATAGGAAAACTTAGTTTTTACATTAGCTCTAAGGACTGCAGTGTATTAAAGCATTATGAAGTTTGCTGAGATTTGATCATATTATATTGTAATTTGATAACACAATATTAGAAATGAATTGCTCTTGGTTACAAAAAGTAATACAGCAAAGACAGAGATTACTGTATGTAACTAACAAAGAATATGTGCTTGTGTTTAATTATCTTGGTGTTGTCTTATCTTTCACTTTCCTGTTTGTCTTTATTTGACTAGATGCATATTTCTGTCACACAGAACATTTTGCATTGCCCAAGTTCAAAATAAAACGACGATACCATGCTTTTATTCATTTTATGGAATATATGTTTTTTAGGCACTAGTGGAGCTAAGAAGGAACATGTAATGGCAACCAGAAATATTGGAGAATTTGTGTATCTTTTCCTACCAGACATGCCACTGACCAACATTAAGGATTTAGAATGGAAAACTAAAGACCTTAAAGTGGCAAAGTTCCAAAATGGCAAGTCATCTTTGCATGATTTATACAAAAACAGAACAACTCTGTTCTCTAACGGAACCCTGAGGTTAGATCAGCCTATCAAAAATGACAGTGGAACTTACACCCTGGATGTTTATGATGAAGGGGAAAGTGTGTTCAAGGGTTACATCTGGCTTGATGTACAAGGTAAGTCCTTTTAATAAAGTATGCTATTGATTCATTTTTAATGAAAATCCTTAGAGAATGTGTCAATGATAAGAATGTATATAGATAATAAAAAAAATGATTACAGGAAAGAATGTTACATTGGCCTTTAAGATATCTTATAGTGCATGATTTAAGTCTCATACCGTATACAGTATATCAACGGATAAAACTTATATCAATATGCCTATATTTGATCAGATTTTAGACTTGGTTGTTGCTGCAACAACAGTTGAAGTTTTCATAACAAAATTTCTAATTTTCCAGTTATATGATTTTAATAATTGGGAGACATTTTTGAAATGAGTGAAATGAAAAACATACATATTGTTCAGAGTATTCTACATTATATTACCAGTTCAGGAGTTGTGTTTTAAAGTTTTTTTATTTTTTTTCAGAGTCAGTCTCTCAGCCTATTGTGAACTCATCCTGTCAAGATGAAGAGCTGGTCAAACTGATGTGTGTGGTGGAGAAGGGAGATAATGTTTCTTACAAGTGGAGCGTAAATGGAACCCCACTTGAAAACATGCTCACTCCCAGGAATGATGGAAGTGGAATTCTAGCAGTGCTAAAAAATAACTCTGAGGAATTTACCTGTACTGCAGAGAACAATGTCAGCAGCGAGACAAGTGATCCCTTCAAACCTTCGTGTGCTTGGAAAGAAACAGGTTTTATAATCTTTCATTTTTTTTAGTGAAAATCTCATTCAAATTCTTTTTTTTGATACTTTCTTCTTTTTTCCAATCTTTCACTTACAGTATTTACAACACATAGCTACATAGTTATTTCAGGGTATTATCACAAGCAATCTGTTTGTCATTTTGAATTTTTAAATGGGAAATACTTAAATTAACTTCACCAGCAAATCAATTATTCATAAAATAAATAGAAATAAAAATTCTGTATTACAGTGTAATGCCTGGAAACCCAACGGTAACCCAGTTTAACTTCCCATTTCTCCCTGTCTTTTTTGTTGTGTGGGGCGCTGGGCTTAAAATAATTTCTTTCTTAATAAACATGCCAAAAGAAGGAACACATTTGTGCTATGTCTGCTTCATTCCTTATGTAAAATGTTTATTTTTTTATTTGGGCATGTTTTTGCAAAAGAGTCCTTGCTATTAACAGATAGTAAATAGGGATGGTGGTTTACCACAATATACTACAGTAGGTTTTATCATTTGTTTTGAGAGCATTTCTGTTTTGAATTTCTTCAAAAAGAGGCTGGAAATTGGTTCCTACAAAACATTAAAAAACAGAAATAAAAAGATACTGCATTAATTTGAAGTGTTCTTATGTGCAGTTGCACACGTTTACTAAAAACACTACAGAGAAACACCTTATTCCTGTTTTAGATCCAGAACTTTTAAGTAATGATGTGTGATGAGTAATAACTGACCTTTTTCCTACTCCTTTTGTCAGTCCCAGAATAAAAGCCCCTAGCAATGTCTTTTTTGTTTCTTTGAGTAACTTCATGGTCAGCGTGTGGTCATTTGCACACAATTGACTTTGGAATGTATCTCCTTAATGCACGTCTGCTTAATTTGCTCCTTTATTTGAGATTTCTTCAGACTGCATACTGTAAGTTTTTCTTTATCTGAAATTTTGAAACAAGTAAATATAATTGTACAGTGCTTTGTACTGATGCTTTTTGATAGTTGATGACAATATGCAGTTTTGGATTTACTCTCAACTACTTTTGCCTATTAACACAGCATGGCATTGAAAAATATTTAGCTTTATTTTATGAAAATATGCACCTTGAGTTTAATATCAACTACTACCTCTTAACACAGCATGACATTGAAAAATGAAAAATGCAAATAAATATATACACAATGTCATGAAGATAGACAGTTTCATAAATTATTACCTTGGACCTAATAAGCTAGTACTTAGAGGCAAGAACATGAAGCAGGATCATCAGAAAAGTATGTATTTAACATTGAACTTCTGTAATGTTTGGAAATATAAATGAAAAATGTGAACTGGGATGTACAACATAGTGTTTTAAGTGCACATAATCATTTACTTTCTAATAAAATGGTACCATGTACCATTTTAAAGAACATTTGGTTATGCAACCTAATATTAGCATACTTTTAAATGGAAGAATGCTTATACTGTGCTTCTCTTAATCAAAAGTGAAACACCACATATTGTTGAAAGCCATTATCAACTTCTAATGACTCACTGCTCACATAAATCCTTGCATAAGGTGATAAACATGACTGATGTATGCTTGTATTCTTATTTTACTATTGGTTTACTGTTGCTCTTCTCCTCCAGACGCATCTTCTTATTTTGTTTTTTTAACTGTGCAAGAAGTAGTGTCCTATTCTTATGCCTTCTATAAATGTTGACTGTAAAATGTGGCTCATATGATTATTTAATGGTATACTGTATTTGTTTTCAGTCACCAGTGGAGCAAAAGAAGAGTATGTGATTGTAACCAGAAACCATGGAGAGTTTGTGTCTCTTTTCATACCAGAAACACCATCATCCAACATAAATGATTTGGTATGGAAATTTAAAGACATTAGAGTGGCAAGATTACAACCTGGTAATATTACCTTACATAATCTGTACAAACATAGAACAACAGTATTTTCCAACGGCACCCTGAGACTCGACAAACCTCTGAAAGAGGACAGTGGATCTTACATCCTAGAAGTATTTAATAAAGAAGGACAAAATATGTTCAAGGGCAGTGTCAGGCTAGAGGTACAAGGTGAGTCTTTTTTTAATGTAGTTCATTGGAAATTAAAAGTCTCTGAACCCGTTTTAATGTTAACAGGGTTTGCACTGCATTAAAATTAATACATGAGATTCCTTAATTCCTTTAATTCCTCCGGAAAATTAAAATAAACAATAATATTATACAGTCTGAACATAAGGAAAATAAAACAATCTGATTTTTTTTACATAGGTAAATATAATTGTATAGTGTATTGTACTGATGCTTTTTGATATTTTATGAAAATATGCAGTTTGGGGTTTAATATCAACTACGTTTGCCTCTTAACACAGCATAACATTGAAACTATTTTGCATATTTTATAAAATATGCACCTTTGAGTTTAATATCAACTACTTGTGTTATATCTTCCAATTACTGAATTCAATTGCAGATCCTGTCTCGCGGCCAGTTATACAAGCATCCTGTCAAGCTGAAGGAACAGTAAGACTGGTGTGCACAGTGCAGGAAGGACATAATGTTTCTTTTCAGTGGAGTTCAAATGGGGCCCCACTCAATAGCAGCCTTGGAACCACTGATGATGGACGTAGTGTTCTTATTGCAATCAAAAATGTCTCTGAGGAGCTTTCCTGCACTGCGGAGAACAACATCAGCAGACAGACAAGTGCTCCCCTGAAGCCCTCTTGCTTTTCAACATCAACAGGTTCTCAATTCAATTTTTTTTTTCTAATGAAAAAGTCAGTGCATTAAGTTATTTGTGACATTTGAATCTGAGCATTCTATCATGTATTGTTTTCAGCTTAATGTTCCTAGTAGACTTTCACATTAATAATGAATGTTAAATGAAACCATTTCTTCCATCATTTACTACACAGCAACAGACATGGAAGATCAATACCAGTGTTACACTAATCTGTAAAATAACACTGACAAGTCAAGATGCTAGTTAATAATTCAACATGCTACCCTTGTCCAAATTATGTTATGGAGTTTCTCAAAGAACAAGACAATGACGAAAACTAAAATTTAATATGCAGTATACAGGCATATACTGTATATATATAAAATACACTGATATACTGTATATGAAAACTACATCATGTATCATACTGTATATAATTACAATAACTATTTACTGTTATATAAGAAAGAAAGGTCAGTGTAATTTGTATATTTTATATTTTTTATTTTCTTGGTCAAGAATCTTCAGGTAATAATCTTATTCATTATCTATTATTATTGACAAAAATAAGGATTTTCTTCAAAATTAATAGTACTGTATATTTATAAAGGGTTTAGGGTTAACTTATACATCTAGTTAGATGCTGCCCTTGAACACACTCTTTCCTTCATAAACTTTCTGTCAGAATTATAGCTTTTAAGTTGTGCAGTTGTACAAGTTAACACATTAATTTACCAAGAAAGACTATATTCTTATTTTAGATCTGCTACTTTAGAGTGAGTGTGCGTGAGTGTGATCTATTTTCATTGTGGTATAATGTGCTTGTATATCTATGTTAACCCAAAGCATATGTACACATCTGTACACATAAAAACAATAGCACTCACACAAACTGCAACAAAGTAATGGGAAACGTTAACACTTAAGTAGTTGGAGTATTTGCAAATTAATAATACTGATCAACTGTATAATTTATCCAGTTTTCATGGAATATGGGCAGTGACATTCCTCATCTTCCCTGTTCCTGAATAAAACAGGTCTTCTCTTCTTCTCTTAGCACTGTTACGTATGATTGGAACACTCATTGCATTGGTTCTCTTGACTTCTGTGCTTTTCCTCCTGATCTATAAAGCCAAAGGAAAGCCAAAGGTGAGAATAAAGTCAGATAAGGAAAATCACTTTCTTATCCTCTTAAAATTAATTCTTCTGTATTAATAGGTATACTAATGTATACCTAATGATCAATGATCATTTGAGCATGTTTGTTTTTAATGTCGTTTATTCCCAAATTGTTTAATTTCTATGAGGGCAGATATTTAGTTTTTAGGAGTCATAGTGTTTATCAAGGAGAGAAAAATATCTTTCACAGGAGAGCTTTAAATCACTGTTGCTATTTTTTTATTCTGCAAAAGCTAAAGGGGAGGTGTCATTAATGGCAGTATTTTGCTATTACTTTAACAGCTTGGAAGATACAGTACATACACTCCCTGATTTTCTCTTTTTGCATTTCCATTAAGAAATATCTTTTAGGACGCAAGTGTGTAAATGACTAGCAAAGGTGTACACAGTGAAATCCACTGTTTGAATTTACAGTATAATGATAATGAAATGAAGCAATGGAAAACAGAATTATAAATAATTTTTAAATGATATATGGAAAACATGTACCAAATAATTGGATCTGAGGTTCTGAAAGATCCGAAAGTTTTAATGATTTCAAATAATATAAAACTTCCGAACTAATTTTACTGTTCTTACCACTAACACAGGCTGTTTTGTCATGTTTGACTGTTATTAGTATTTTAAACAGGAAAACGCAGAAATACCAAATAGTCTCAGACAAATCAAGCTGTTCATTGAGCACAAACATTCAGCATTCAAGTGAAATAACAGTACACAGCTTTTTCTGACCAATTATAACTGACATACTGTATACTGTAGACACAATCCACCCTAACAATGAAAGAAAAACAATCTAAGCTTTGGCTAGCAATGCACTTAAATGCCACACATCTACCAGTCACAAACAAATATATTTTGAAAGGACATTACTTTTTCTCAATAATATATATAGATAGATATATTTAATTATATACTTAACACATCTCGGAAATCTGAAGTGCATTGTGTAGACTACAGAATATAGTGTACACAATGCACTCTAGTCTTGTCTTTTTATGTACTGTAGGAGTTTTATTGTATATTATTTTACAGAGAAATAAAAAAAAAACTAAGGGAAAATTTTGATCTAATTTAATGTTTTCCAGAAGAAGACATAAATCCTGGTAAAGAATGGGAGACCCAGTGCATGGATAAGGTTTACTTTCAAAATCATGCTCCTGACAGGATGGAAAAAAAAATGCTCCACAGTGTTTTTTGATCTATTTTAAAGTTTATTTTTTTAAGTTTATTTTTTAAAGCTTAAGTTTTTCAAATTGAATAAATTTCTTTTTCAAAAACCTATTAATTGTGTTTTCAATGAAGTGTATGGTGAAATGTGTAATATCAGGTTGGTTTTCATGTTAACACTCATCTTTGCTAAATAAATAACTTCAGATGCTTTTCTTGTTGAAGAAATAATAATATTAGTAATTTTAGTGTTTTTCAGCAAGCAACTTTAATATTTGTGATACTATTGATATTTGTTGGTGTTGTTCTGAAACACATTCGTCATAATTTAGTCATGTTTTAAAATTCAGTTTGAAAATAGATTCAGCTTTAACAACAATAATAATAATTCCTTAAACATACTGTATATAGATCTTTTCTGAATACTTCACTCAAAGTGCTTTACAGGTAATGGGGACTCCCCTACACCAACACTAATGTGCAGCACTACCAGTAAGATGCGACAGCCGCCATAGTGCGCCAGTACGCTTAACACACATCAGATGTCACTCGGATATCCTCCTCACTGATGTTACCAATTCATACAGTAGATGGGGATTATCAGGAAGCCATGATGGGTAAAGGCCAGGGGGAAATTTGCCCAGGATGACTGGGAATTTTTAATGACGAAAGAGAGTCAGAGCCTAAGTTTAAGTCTCATCCGAGGACATAAAATGCATTAACGACATTTATAGACATCTGGGATCAGTGAACAACTAACCCTGACCTGATAGATTGCAGTGCTGAAGATGAATTTGTCCTTCAGACATTACGTACTATTCTGAATGTTTTTCAAGAAGAATCATGAGAGAAAAGAGTACTGAAGGTGAAAGATTGTTATTTCGTTCCGTTCTTGTTGAGGCTCAATGAAGAATTTTCAGGATTTCACTCTGTGCAGGTCCTGGCATGCAAATCATTGTAGTCGCAGTAGTGACAGCAGTATAAGAGGTAGTCTACCTAGGTCGAGGTTATATTTCTAGCAATGTCTGAGTGAAAAGAATCTGAATAATTGATTTAAATAGGCAAAATTAATCGAGTTTCAATGTTTTTTGTAAACAAATGTAGCCCGGGAAAGAACACACCGTACTACAATAAACTTAAATGGGGATTCTTTTTATTCTGGATCTGCATGAAATCATAAAAATGAGTGGTTGTATTATTTTCTGTTACAGGACTTAGATTGGATACAGTATAACCTTTAACCCAAAAGCTCTACATAGATATACATGGAGATGTACACACACCAGGATGCACAAAGCGCTACTAAAATAACAAAGACAAAGAAAAAATTCGGTAGTGGCAATTTCCTCTTTGATCTCGTCTAATCCAAGACGCAAAAAATAACACGCTAGCTGCATTCACATCACACGTAGCCACACACCACGCTCAACTTTACGATGTCCACTCCCAAAATTACTGGCGCACTGACGTCACTCATACGAGCATCTCTTAAAGCGACAGCTACCAATTTCAGTGTCAGATTTCAAAAATCCCCTCCATAACCACCCAGTTACACAGAAGGAAAAATTTGATATGGTGTTTCTGTAACAGAGCTTAAAATATTACTTAACCTCACTATCAGGAAAAAGTAAAAAATCAAAAATGTTAATGAAACTCCATTAAATTCTTAAATCTCCTCGGACGTTAAAGGCACTAACGACATTTATAGACATCTGGGAGTGATTCACTAACCCTAACCCGATAGATAGCAGTGCTGAAGATGTGTTGTTTTCTTCAGGCATTACCAACTATTATGAATGTTTTTCCAGCAAGAATCATTAGAGAAAAGAATATTCAAGGTGAAAGATTGCTATTTTGTTCTGTTCGTGTTGAGGCTCAATGAAGAATTTTCAAGATTTCACTCTCTGCAGGTCCTGGCGTGCAAATCATTGTGCTCGCAGTAGTCATAGTAGTATTAGAGATAGAGTCTATCTAGGTCGAGGTTAAATTTCAGGCAATGTTTAAATGAAATTTATATGAATAATCTATTTCAATGGTCAAAATTATGGTGTTTCTGTAGCAGAGCATAACATAGTACTTAACCTCACTATCAGGAAAAAGTAAAAAAATAAAAATGTTAATAAAACTCTAAATTTCCATGAAATTCTTAATTCTCCTTGTACTTTAAATGCATAAACGACTTTTATAGACGTCTGGGACCAGTGATTCACTAACCCTAACCCTAAACCAAAGAGATAGCAGTGCTGAGGATATGGTTTTGCTTCAGACATTACATCCTATTCTCAATGTTTTTCAGCAAGAATCATGAGAGAAAGGAGTATTGAAGGTGAACGATTGCTATTTTGTTTCGTTCGTGTTGAGGCTAAGTGAAGAATGTTCGAGATTTCACTTTCTGCAGGTCCTGGCATTCAAATCATTGTGCTCGCAGAAGTGATAGTAGTATTAGAGATAGAGTCTACCTAGGCTGAGGTTACATTTCAGGCAGTGTCTGAATGAAATAAATCTGAATAGTCTATTTCAATCGGCCAAATCAATCAAATTTCAATGTTTTATGCACTCAAAACAAAAATTTTGAGATGGTGTTTCTGTAGCAGAGCATGACATAGTACTTAACCTCAGTCTCAGGAAAAAGTAAAAAAATAAACATGTCAATGAAACTTGAAATTTCTATGAAATTCTTCATTCTGCTTGGATTTAAAATGCATTAACGACATTTGTAGACATCTCGTATCAGTGATTCAGTAACCCTAACCCTAACCCGATAGATAGCAGTGCTGAGGGTGTGATTGTGCTTCAGGTATTCCCTACTTCTCTGAATGTTTACTCTGAAGAGAAGAGACCAACCAATGGAAACGATTTTTATTTTGTTCTCATTTTGGAAAGGTGTAATGAAGAGTTTCCAAGATTTCACTCTCTGCCGGTCCTAACGTGCAACTCATTACTGTATGCTCGCAGTAGTGAGAATATTATAAGAATATTAAATTTCTTCTAAAGTTTGAATGAAAAGAAGCTTATCAATTTCATTTAACAGACCAAACTTAACAAGTTAACAAACAATAGAACTCAACAGAACACAAAAACTGCAACAATGTAATGGGTAAACTAATAATGCTAATAATAATAATAATAATAATAATAATAATAATAATAATAATAATAATAATAATAATAATAATAATAATAATGTTTCTTTATTAGCCCTATACAATTTCTTGCATTAGGAATTCATCTTTTTGCATACCGCAGCTTTTCTCCATGGAGACACAGACAGGAGGAAATCCAAAGGAAAGCCAAACAAAGGTGAGAATTAAGTCAGATAAGGAAAATCACTTACTATACCTTTTAATGAAAAAATACATTTCTGAACAATCAAAGTGAATAAATAAAAAGAAGATATATTGTAAAATGGATGTAAGAAATAGTTTTGCTTTTTCTCCATTCATTCATAATTTACAGTACATTGTTAATGATAATGATTAAGGAAATTATGTCCAATATACAGTATATACAGTACTGTATATTCCTCTTTATTTTAGAAGTCACATTAATTCTTCTGTATTGATATGTATACTAATGTCAACCTTGTTGCTGTCTAAAAGGTATCAGTGATCATTTGAGCATGTTTATTTTTAATGTCTTTTATTCCCAACATGTTTATTTACTATGAGGGACACGTATATTGTATAATCTGTAGGAAGTATACTGTACAGTATATCGAGGAGTGAAAAATAGTGTCTTTCCCAGAAGATCTTTGACTCACCATTAAAAAATGTTAATCTTCAAAGCACCACATGAGGAAAATGTTATGTCAATTCTGTTAGACGTCTGTCAGAACTCAATATTTGAGAGTACAGAATACACTGTATGATATTTCAAACACATCTTTGCATAGATAAGTATTACACTACATACAGTTGATTTACACTTTGGACATAATCTGTTAGGTGAGTTAATTTTACCATGTGTGTTTAAAACAATGCCAGTGGCAGATCTGTATACCTTACAGTCTGTGCTGGTCTTATTTTCACATCACAGGCCCATCAATGGCAGCCACAGAAGTATACATTTGTTACACTTCTTAATAATTCATCTGGAAAATTGAAAACATTATTTTTTACTAGTCATCTAAATATATGGAATATAAATTGATTTTGAGTGAGAGAGTGAGAGATTTTGAGTGTGCTAGGATCGGATTTATGTAGTTTATAAATTAGATTTTTAAATGTTGTAGTTTGAGAGCAATAAAAAATACACCAAAATAGTAAGTGTAACTATGCACATGTACAGTGTTCGAGAGAATACTGCAGAACTGAATATTTTAAATTTATACAGGAGTAACAGCAGTTTTGTTAAATCATATAATTCAGCCAGCTGTGCGTATGCAGTATGTCATTCATTTTTAAAATATTTCTGCATACCCTGCATAAGAGGTGTAAGATATCTGATGATTCATATGAGACCTGGATTTCTGAGATGAGACATTAGGTTAGAAAACGTGAGTAAAATATGTGATCTGGAACTGCAGCCTTGGTTAAGCTATTGGTTCAAGCTGTTGTTCTTCTGCTTTATAATGAGGCTATAAAACTTCTCTATTGTTTTAGAAAATAGGTAGAGAAAGTTGCAGCTGAGTATTGGTGTTCTCAATACTCCTCACGTGCATGAAAGGGGAGGTGTGATTAATTTAAGTATTTTGCTTTTTCTTTAACAGCTCGGAAGATACAGTACATACTTTTGTTTTACTCTTTTTGGATTGCCCCTAAGATAAAATAAATCTCTTCTATTATGCAAGTGTTTAAATGACTAGCAAAAGAGAACGCAATGAAATCCACTGTTTGAATGTATAATGAAAATAAAACAAAATATTGGAAAACAGTTAGAATTACTAATAATATTTAAGATAATATTTAGAAAACTTGTACCAAATAATTGGATCTGAGAAGCACACAGATATAGTATTTATTTAATTATTTCAAATTAGATAAGCTTCTGAACTATTTTTATTGTTCTTAATAGAGGCAATTCTATCAGGTTTCACTCTTAGTATTTTACCAGGAAAATGCAGAAAAACCAAATAGTCTCAGACAAATCAAGCTGGTCATTGAGAACAAACATTCAGGATTCAAGTGAAATAAATCAACTCAGCTTTGTCTGACCAATTTTAACTGATGTACAGTATAGAAGGCCCTCCACCCTAACACTGAGAGAAAAAAATCTAAGCCTTGACTAGCAGTAACACACTTAAAATTCCACACATCCACACGTCTAAACAAAGTTTTTTTAAAAGACATTACTTTTCTTAAAAATATATCTTTACTATATACTATACACCTACTGTCTGAATTGCACTGTGTAGACTACAGTATATAGTGTACACAATGCACACTAGTCTTTTTTATGCAGGAGTTTTAATGCATATTCTTTTACAGAGAGAAAAAGTAAGGGAACATTTTTATGTAATTTAATGTTGCTCAGAAGATATAAATCCTGGTAAAGAACACAGAATGGAAATAAGATCACTCCAGCTGGACAGTGTTGTTTGATCTAACACTTATTTTAAGTTTATTTTTTTTTAAGATTCAGAGTATTTGTTTGAACTCATTAATTGTGTTTTCAATGAAGTGTTGGTTAAGTGTGTAATATCAGGTTGATGTTCATGTGAACTCTCATCTTTGCTAAATAAATTACTTCAGATGCTTTTCTTGTTAAATAAGTAATTATAGATGTGTTTTTCAGCAAACAAATTTAATATTGTGAAAAACTCCCAAAATGCATGTTTAATGTTGTTGTTCTGAAACACATTCAGAATTTATTTGCATGTTTTTACAAATTCAGATAAAATAAAATTCAGATTTCATGTCTGTTTTCAAGAATATGGTAAATACTTTAACGTAGTCAATTTCACAAGCATGGTAAATATTCCTATGCAGTTCTTATAGTAAAAAAAAATGAGTGTTCCAATATCTTTAGCTCTCTTCTTGCTCCCCCTTGTGGATAAAATAATATAATTTTAAAAGGTAACACACCAGTGCCCCAGTTGATGCTTGATTTTACCAACGGACAGGGGTGAGCTGTGGCATGCAGAACCCTGTGGTGCCCATGTCTAAAATTAGTTACACCCCTGACATCTAGTTTGGCATCTACTCCATGTTCGCTTGTTGCTTTGGGGTTCACATTACTGCCTGTCTCATTGTGAGGTCTACAGGCCTGAGTAAAAGGCTCCTGAAATTTAGTAAATGTATCTTATTTATACATTTTATTTTATACCACTTAAATAAAGCACTAACAACTGAAAAGGGAAATTAATAAGACCGCCCTTGTAATGGTTGAGAAGCTTACTAAATGCTACAGCAGCTACGAATTTCAGTTCTCAGAAGTGGGTATTTCAGTAAGTTAAATAGCACAAATATCTAACTGCTATGCAGCTACTGTACATTTAAGATAAGATGGGCTTTTTTAGAGATAATTTCACTGAAACGTTCAGTAAGCCTAAAAATAGATTTCAAAGCAAAATATTAGAATACTGGAGAATACTGGAGCACGTGATTAGCAACAACCTAAATAGAAGGTAAGATGAAGGTGTTGCTCTGTTTTTTATAAAGAGGTGATGTTAAAAAGACTAAGTACTCAAGCATGCAATTGTAGAAGAGAACAGAAGACAAACGAAATAGGTCATAATAATGCGATATAGTCAGATTTTGGATCAGCAGAAAAACAACCACTGCCCTCAAACCTACTTGTTTCTGGACATGCAAAGGTTTTTAATCATGGTATTTCTTTTTTTTTTTCCTTTTCCAATGAAAGTTTGTCCACGTGAGTTTATGGCACATGCATCTTCCGCAATTATCCCTGCTTTAATATACAGTGCACAGTAATGTTCATTTTTGGCCTCAAGATGCTAATAAAACTCAATGAATGCACCTTTTTAATCATACCGTTTATGTGTTGAATTAACTTTATAACTAAGTAAATGAATTGTTATTAGTAAACTAATTGTCATTAGTTGAAATGACAAGAGTAAAACTGCAGGAATGGGTAAATTTTAATTCTGAAATCTCTGTGTCTGTGTGCACTTTTGTGTGTATTATAAATGCTCTTCGGATCTGGAAGAAATAATCAAGATAAACAAGTTTGTCCTTCACTCTTTTACAAAACCTTTTCTCATGCATTAATCCACAAAATAAGACAGTTCAAGGAATAAAACATCAAAGCCATTATCCAACAGTGTATCTGTTCTTCTGTAAGTAAAGTTTTCTGTCTGTACTATAATAGGCAGGTAACGTCAAGAAGGTGGACAATGGTCTTTATAAAAGACGACAAGACGAACGTGAACAGATTGTAACAGTTTTACCAGAAACCTGCTGTACATGTTAGCTAAAGAATTGAGTAGGAAATACCGTATTCCTATTTTAGAGCGACAGAATTTGGAGAAGCGATGCCTCATAACCGAACTGTTTTCATTTTCTGTGGTTGGTCAAAAGAAAAAAAAAACAGGCCTATATGACCTTAATTGTTTCATGCTCGGCCTGAATTCATTTGCTTGCACTGGGCATTGACATGATTCTCCTTAACACATGTCTGTTGAATGTGTGGCTCTGTGTGACATTTCTTCACCTCGCCAACTGTAAGTTTTTTTGTTTTTTGTATATAATAAACAAAGAGAAATAACTTGCAAAATTAAAAATATTTTCTAGACCTGCATAACAAAAAACACTGACTTTTTGATTTTATAGGAAAACTTAGTTTTTACATTAGCTCTAAGGACTGCAGTGTATTAAAGCATTATGAAGTTTGCTGAGATTTGATCATATTATATTGTAATTTGATAACACAATATTAGAAATGAATTGCTCTTGGTTACAAAAAGTAATACAGCAAAGACAGAGATTACTGTATGTAACTAACAAAGAATATGTGCTTGTGTTTAATTATCTTGGTGTTGTCTTATCTTTCACTTTCCTGTTTGTCTTTATTTGACTAGATGCATATTTCTGTCACACAGAACATTTTGCATTGCCCAAGTTCAAAATAAAACGACGATACCATGCTTTTATTCATTTTATGGAATATATGTTTTTTAGGCACTAGTGGAGCTAAGAAGGAACATGTAATGGCAACCAGAAATATTGGAGAATTTGTGTATCTTTTCCTACCAGACATGCCACTGACCAACATTAAGGATTTAGAATGGAAAACTAAAGACCTTAAAGTGGCAAAGTTCCAAAATGGCAAGTCATCTTTGCATGATTTATACAAAAACAGAACAACTCTGTTCTCTAACGGAACCCTGAGGTTAGATCAGCCTATCAAAAATGACAGTGGAACTTACACCCTGGATGTTTATGATGAAGGGGAAAGTGTGTTCAAGGGTTACATCTGGCTTGATGTACAAGGTAAGTCCTTTTAATAAAGTATGCTATTGATTCATTTTTAATGAAAATCCTTAGAGAATGTGTCAATGATAAGAATGTATATAGATAATAAAAAAAATGATTACAGGAAAGAATGTTACATTGGCCTTTAAGATATCTTATAGTGCATGATTTAAGTCTCATACCGTATACAGTATATCAACGGATAAAACTTATATCAATATGCCTATATTTGATCAGATTTTAGACTTGGTTGTTGCTGCAACAACAGTTGAAGTTTTCATAACAAAATTTCTAATTTTCCAGTTATATGATTTTAATAATTGGGAGACATTTTTGAAATGAGTGAAATGAAAAACATACATATTGTTCAGAGTATTCTACATTATATTACCAGTTCAGGAGTTGTGTTTTAAAGTTTTTTTATTTTTTTTCAGAGTCAGTCTCTCAGCCTATTGTGAACTCATCCTGTCAAGATGAAGAGCTGGTCAAACTGATGTGTGTGGTGGAGAAGGGAGATAATGTTTCTTACAAGTGGAGCGTAAATGGAACCCCACTTGAAAACATGCTCACTCCCAGGAATGATGGAAGTGGAATTCTAGCAGTGCTAAAAAATAACTCTGAGGAATTTACCTGTACTGCAGAGAACAATGTCAGCAGCGAGACAAGTGATCCCTTCAAACCTTCGTGTGCTTGGAAAGAAACAGGTTTTATAATCTTTCATTTTTTTTAGTGAAAATCTCATTCAAATTCTTTTTTTTGATACTTTCTTCTTTTTTCCAATCTTTCACTTACAGTATTTACAACACATAGCTACATAGTTATTTCAGGGTATTATCACAAGCAATCTGTTTGTCATTTTGAATTTTTAAATGGGAAATACTTAAATTAACTTCACCAGCAAATCAATTATTCATAAAATAAATAGAAATAAAAATTCTGTATTACAGTGTAATGCCTGGAAACCCAACGGTAACCCAGTTTAACTTCCCATTTCTCCCTGTCTTTTTTGTTGTGTGGGGCGCTGGGCTTAAAATAATTTCTTTCTTAATAAACATGCCAAAAGAAGGAACACATTTGTGCTATGTCTGCTTCATTCCTTATGTAAAATGTTTATTTTTTTATTTGGGCATGTTTTTGCAAAAGAGTCCTTGCTATTAACAGATAGTAAATAGGGATGGTGGTTTACCACAATATACTACAGTAGGTTTTATCATTTGTTTTGAGAGCATTTCTGTTTTGAATTTCTTCAAAAAGAGGCTGGAAATTGGTTCCTACAAAACATTAAAAAACAGAAATAAAAAGATACTGCATTAATTTGAAGTGTTCTTATGTGCAGTTGCACACGTTTACTAAAAACACTACAGAGAAACACCTTATTCCTGTTTTAGATCCAGAACTTTTAAGTAATGATGTGTGATGAGTAATAACTGACCTTTTTCCTACTCCTTTTGTCAGTCCCAGAATAAAAGCCCCTAGCAATGTCTTTTTTGTTTCTTTGAGTAACTTCATGGTCAGCGTGTGGTCATTTGCACACAATTGACTTTGGAATGTATCTCCTTAATGCACGTCTGCTTAATTTGCTCCTTTATTTGAGATTTCTTCAGACTGCATACTGTAAGTTTTTCTTTATCTGAAATTTTGAAACAAGTAAATATAATTGTACAGTGCTTTGTACTGATGCTTTTTGATAGTTGATGACAATATGCAGTTTTGGATTTACTCTCAACTACTTTTGCCTATTAACACAGCATGGCATTGAAAAATATTTAGCTTTATTTTATGAAAATATGCACCTTGAGTTTAATATCAACTACTACCTCTTAACACAGCATGACATTGAAAAATGAAAAATGCAAATAAATATATACACAATGTCATGAAGATAGACAGTTTCATAAATTATTACCTTGGACCTAATAAGCTAGTACTTAGAGGCAAGAACATGAAGCAGGATCATCAGAAAAGTATGTATTTAACATTGAACTTCTGTAATGTTTGGAAATATAAATGAAAAATGTGAACTGGGATGTACAACATAGTGTTTTAAGTGCACATAATCATTTACTTTCTAATAAAATGGTACCATGTACCATTTTAAAGAACATTTGGTTATGCAACCTAATATTAGCATACTTTTAAATGGAAGAATGCTTATACTGTGCTTCTCTTAATCAAAAGTGAAACACCACATATTGCTGAAAGCCATTATCAACTTCTAATGACTCACTGCTCACATAAATCCTTGCATAAGGTGATAAACATGACTGATGTATGCTTGTATTCTTATTTTACTATTGGTTTACTGTTGCTCTTCTCCTCCAGACGCATCTTCTTATTTTGTTTTTTTAACTGTGCAAGAAGTAGTGTCCTATTCTTATGCCTTCTATAAATGTTGACTGTAAAATGTGGCTCATATGATTATTTAATGGTATACTGTATTTGTTTTCAGTCACCAGTGGAGCAAAAGAAGAGTATGTGATTGTAACCAGAAACCACGGAGAGTTTGTGTCTCTTTTCATACCAGAAACACCATCATCCAACATAAATGATTTGGTATGGAAATTTAAAGACATTAGAGTGGCAAGATTACAACCTGGTAATATTACCTTACATAATCTGTACAAACATAGAACAACAGTATTTTCCAACGGCACCCTGAGACTCGACAAACCTCTGAAAGAGGACAGTGGATCTTACATCCTAGAAGTATTTAATAAAGAAGGACAAAATATGTTCAAGGGCAGTGTCAGGCTAGAGGTACAAGGTGAGTCTTTTTTTAATGTAGTTCATTGGAAATTAAAAGTCTCTGAACCCGTTTTAATGTTAACAGGGTTTGCACTGCATTAAAATTAATACATGAGATTCCTTAATTCCTTTAATTCCTCCGGAAAATTAAAATAAACAATAATATTATACAGTCTGAACATAAGGAAAATAAAACAATCTGATTTTTTTTACATAGGTAAATATAATTGTATAGTGTATTGTACTGATGCTTTTTGATATTTTATGAAAATATGCAGTTTGGGGTTTAATATCAACTACGTTTGCCTCTTAACACAGCATAACATTGAAACTATTTTGCATATTTTATAAAATATGCACCTTTGAGTTTAATATCAACTACTTGTGTTATATCTTCCAATTACTGAATTCAATTGCAGATCCTGTCTCGCGGCCAGTTATACAAGCATCCTGTCAAGATGAAGGAACAGTAAGACTGGTGTGCACAGTGCAGGAAGGACATAATGTTTCTTTTCAGTGGAGTTCAAATGGGGCCCCACTCAGCCTTGGAACCACTGATGATGGACGTAGTGTTCTTATTGCAATCAAAAATGTCTCTGAGGAGCTTTACTGCACTGCGGAGAATAACATCAGCAGACAGACAAGTGCTCCCCTGAAGCCTTCTTGCTTTTCAACATCAACAGGTTCTGAACCCTACTGTAAATTGTCCTAATGAAAAAGCCATTGCCTTATGTTATTTTTGACATTTGAATCTTCCTAGAATTCTATCATTGATTTTTTTGTTTCAAGTAAACTGTTACATTAAAATAAAATGTTAAATGAAACCATTTTTCCATTAGATGAAGCAATAGATATGGAATATCAATACTCATATTACACTGCTGTGAAACATAACATGGTCAAGTCAATAAGACATTAAAAAAGCATACGATTCCTGGAGATGTAGACTGTAAAATGTGCAGGTCCAGGAACCTATTGTGTTAATGTTGGTGTATGCTCATAAAATTAAAGAACAAAACGTGCACCATATAATAAATAAATATGCACACATACTGTATGCAAACATTGTATGCAACAAGAATAAGAGAATGCTTATCACTACAGCTTGAAAATAATTACAAAACTACAAAAAATGCTGTTTGCTGAGGTTCAAATAACCCTTGTATTTTGTTTCTGTGACTTGTTTTTGTGCACTATTAATGTTAACATTGATTATTTCTTTCTTGAATAAACCAGGTCTTCTCACAATCTTATTCTGCCTCAGTGGAACTCTCATCATAGCTTTGTTGTTTTTGGGGATCCTCCTTATAACCAGTAAAGTAAAAAAATGGCCTCATAAAGGTAGGAAAAAGAAAGTAAAAATCAATGGTAACACTTCAGAATAGGAGAAAGAATGACTACTTTTTTACTGAAAATACAGCTTGTTGAGCACTGGTGAATGTCTAATAAATTACGTATTAGTGTTATATGATGGGTTTGTGTTAGTTTTCACTAAGGGAAGTTAATAAATTCATTTGTCATTGTTGCTCATTATCCTTCGTAAGTCCTAATATATCATTTATGCATAACACATGGTTTGCAAGTATTCTAAAATGTTACTTGTTCATTGTAAACAGAAACACATTTAAAGGAGTATTTTTAATTAAATCTTTAAAAGCTCAAAACGTAAATTTTCCTGTAATTGCACCTTTTAATCAATGTGAAATTTAATTTATGATACTTTTTAGAATTGTATTATTACAGTTGTTTAAATCTTTTATTGTTCATGTTCTTTTCTTATTCTAAAAAGAGCAATACAATGTAGCTGACAAAGAAAGTAAGGGGAAGGGAGAATGTACGTCTTTCCCATCATTGGCATCAACAGAACCAGCCATAAAAGGCAAGTTTATCCAAACAATATTTTATGATAAATGCAGATTTCTTGTAAGTTTTTATTTGTGCTTACTAATTTGGGAGAATATTACGTCGTCTGCCTATAGTTCACAGAAATCCAAAGTTTTAGTGAAAAATGGCTTGGAAGAATCAAAGAGGTTACCACCTTCTGTCTATGGACATGACTAAATAATAAGTAATTAATACTTTAATCTCTTGATGCAATTATAAACATCAAGACTATTGCATTTATATATCACTGTTTTTTATTCTTCACCCTTTTCATAAATGCAATTGCTTCTTTTATCAACTTTTTATGGTCTCAAAACATTGACTCTTTTCTTTAAATAGTGAGCCTTAAATGAAATGAATAGAACTCTGTTTCATGTACTGTATATATCGTACGTTGTATATGAGATTTAGTATAGTTCAGTCTGACAAAGTCTTCAGTGAATTCTCAGGTAATATCAGCTCAATACAAAACAATTTCAACATCATAGGGTTACATGAGCTTTTTTACTGTTTAAACCACCAATCAGCCCCATCCAATTGTTTCCTTAGTGGGTACAAATATAAATTATTCTTATCATCCTTATTTCCTTTTTGCAAGAACATTTGAGCTTTTAAAGTGCTCAGAAATATGCAGCTCATTCTATAGGCAGTTATAGTTGTGTGTATCTAAAAATAATAAAGTTGCACAAAACTACTCAGATGCATGACAGCATAACCACGGACTATAATCTTGTGAAGGTCATTTACCAAATATCAGTCTCTGTCGGTCAACTGAGCTTTACAGTTATGTCAAAATTTTACATTTTTTAACAGTAATGCACAAACTGTGTATGTGTTTCAAGTACAGAAAAGCATGCCTTTTTTTCTTTTTTAGAAGACATATATGTTGACATGGGCCTACAGAATATGGCAGAAACAAGTAGAATATCAGAGCAGCACAGTTTTTCATCTGCTGAAATAGCACCTGAGACAAAGACACCAGACCAAGGCAAGAACCCCCCCTATTACTCTTACAGCACAAGCTATTATAAGAATATGCACTTCAACACAACAAATTGAACAAAGCAAAAGTTCAACCGAAGAGCCGTAAACTGGCCTCAGAAATGCTAAAAAAAAGATCTAATAGCATTCAACCACCCAGACCAGCACACATACTGTATCAAAGTCTTAACAATGATATAACATTGTACTGTACAATGCAATACTGTTCCAAGGATACACGGAAGTGAGGATACACTTTTGATTAATCACCATGGAGTTGTGAAGTAATACCAATGGTACAGTATGTTTTTATTTTTCTCAATATTAAACAACAACTCCAAGAATGGCAGACAAATAAATTGCCATTTGTCCTTCTAGCAAATTAACATCAATAATATAAGGTACAAAACACAGTATTACTGTAAATATTGACTTAATATTACTTTATTATTAAGTGTGAGTTGCCTTCGTGGAATGTTATTGTTTCCTTTACAATTCTTTTAAAGGAATACACTGCAATGTATACTGCACACATATTGTTGCCTCGAGAGAATGTTTATTCATGGATTGGATTGGACCTGCTGAATCTTATGACATTTGCAGACGATCTTTCATGTTATTAGTGTTATGGCTACTATTACATGGCCTTAAAAGCCATCACAGACACAGGAACAGCTAAGGATTATGATGTGATCATGATCTACTGAGATGTTAAGGGATGACATTTAGTTAGCTGTGCGTATAAAAGGTGAAAGCAATTTAAGATATCCAGAGACATATGAAAAGAAAAAGAAAAAAGAAAGTGGTTCAGTGTTAATAATACCCCTTTTGTCTTACTTCCTGTAGTCTACAAATAGGAACCATTTTGTCTGGTTTTGTTTTTACCAATAGAGGAAGAATATGTTGAAATGAGTAATACCTTGAATCGAAAGAAGAGGTTCCTTGGAGAGAACAGTTCCGGATTCAAATCGCTGCAGCTAAACAAGGATCTGTCTGACCAAGGCAAGTGTGGACCTTCAAAGCATTAAATTCAGTATACAGTACTGAAAGCCACAGCATGAGCTAATTGTATTGTATCGTTACAAAGCAAAGGATATTATTCAAAGAGCATTTTCAGTTTCCGAGCTGTATATCAAGTATGTAACAAGATTATGTAGTACGTATAAATTAATGTGGAAAGTTTCCCAGTCATGGAATAATCTTAATCATTTCTAATGCTTTTTAGGGGAAGAAAAACATACTGATGCAGAAGTGAAGACCCAAGACAGCTCTGATGTAATTTATGCTCAGATTCACATTAAGAAGACTGGCATCGCCAGACAAACAAATTCATCACCAGTTCTGTCTCATAATGTGATATATTCTAATTAACAAAATCTTGTGCTTCCTGGCTAATATTTCACATGCGTTTTAATGTTTAATAAACTAAACTAATGGATTGTTCTGTGGAATGTAACTTTTGTTCTGTTTGTTTAGGCCTAAAATCAAGTTACTGTTGATGTTAAATTATTTAAAATAAAACTCCTACATGATGTTAGTTTTGTATTTATGCTACTAGATCTGTAGTTTTTTCATGCACACTTCACAATTTTTGCATTTCAGAATATCTTGTAGCTCTGATCCACAATTGTAATAAAATAGATCAAATCCAGGAAAATGGATAATAAATGACACTACAAGCTAAAAATCTATTTCAATGTAAAGGTACAAATTAATAATGTAGGTACTGGCCAATAGTTTTTAATTAATTCAAAAAATGTTTACATTTTATTTTAGTTTCAGCACAGAAAATTGAAAAATAATGGTACCATGTAAAAGTAGCACTGCTGCCTCACTGCTCCAGCATACTGCATTTGGTAACAGCTTTTGTGTCTTCATTGTGTCTCCATGACTAGTTACTAGAATCTCTGATTTTCCCCAAAGACTTTAAGATTTGGCTTATTTGGCTTACCTTTACAGGGGAGTGGAATTCAAGGCCTTCTGTTTATTGGGGAGTTCATCCTCTGCCAATACAGGCTACAGGAATACAGATAGAATCCACTCTATTCTTGCCTTCTGTTGTTCCAGTGTTCAAAAATACTAAATGTATTGCCGTTAACAGTGGTGATCAGAATAAAATGTCATGTAGCATTTAATATAATATTCCAGACTTTTCAAAAATGTAAGTGTAAAGAAAATATTCTGTTATTACTGCAATGTGATATACTGTATAGTAATGAAAATGAAATGGAAATATGAAATTAGTTCGATTCATACATAATTGTTTGGTGCCAAATAATAATTTGTAAGATTTTTTGTCATGTTTGCTCCTGCTGGAGCTCACTGGAGTGAACTAGCATTGACACGGGAGCCAGCAGCCACATACAGTATCCACTCACCTGTCTCTCAGTGCTGATTGCCATGGATGCCTATCTGATGGGAAACCTGTACCACCTGGAACGCCTGCTAAATTATGACCGTGTCCAACTAACGTGGTTCAGGTGTCACGGGAGCCGGTTCTGACTCCCGTGTAGTGCGTAGTTTAGACAGTAAAATCTGGAAGTGACTGGAAAAGGACTACGGGGAAAACATGGATAGGAATGGAAGAGATGGCGAACATGCGGCGGTGCCGACAGTGATCCAGGTGCATGGGGGAGCACAGGCGAACAAGTCCAAACAAGGGAAGTCCAAAACGGGAAACTAGGGTGCAGTCCAGGGTCCAAGTGCTGGGAGATCCATCCAAGACAAATGATTAAAAGCAGGAACGGGATCAGGGACAGGAACACGAAAATTAAAAACCGGTATGCTCCAAGTCCCTGAGTCAGCTGGTCTGGACGCCTAAGCCCTCATGCCGTGGACGTAGGACGACCTGATGCTCGGCGGGCCTCCAGGCGTCTGTATTCTAATGCAGAGCCCTGAGCTTCCGGACCACCGGGCTAAAATAAAGGATGGAACAAGGGGCAGGTGAATGTGATAATGAAACTAACACAAAAGGGTCAGAGTGCCCTCTGGAGGAGGGATGAGAATCGTGATATCAGGTTATTTCATCTGTGATCTGGGAGTGCCATGGATTCTAGTATAGTTTGTGAAGATCCTAGCTTTGGTAATTTTTTTGCTGAGTCTTAAGTCTCCCTGGGTTTCTTACGGGATTCCTGATCCTCACTTTGACCTGACTGCGTTTATTGGATTCTCAATTTCTGCTCTCTGTAAATGAGCTTTCCGTAGATAGGTGGTACTTTATTTGATTCTCCTACCGATGGAACACATTACAATCCATTTTCTTACTACCTTTGCCAGAGCAGGAGCTAGCATTCCTAGTTTTCTTTCCTACAGTGAGAGGCTGGGTGGCATATGTTCTGCTCCGGACCATACAAGGAATGAAATGGCAACTCTAGGGACTTGGCATATGGAGAGACCCCTCTTTGTTCTTCATTTAATCTCTACTACGTTCCCTTTCACGTGTATTACTTGGACTATAATCGTAACCCCCTCTGTGTTTCTGGCAATTTTGGTGGCTGAAAGATGACATTCCAGGGATACCATGAAATCATAGGCAATTTGAGGGTCTGATGGATTGATGGTCTGATGGATTTTAGGGGGTAACTGATAGAAGTACATGTCCAGTACTAAATATTTGACTGTGTGGGTTTGACTAAGGGCTTCAGGTTCCAGCCACTTTTTAGCCAAATAAATGATCGCAAACCTTTGAGATCAAGTGGAGATATTGGGGTTATAATGCCATTTGTGGAATCTTATAGCTCCCTACCTTGCTAAGATTTAGGCTTTCAGTTTATAATCTGAGGCAGTAGCACTATCAAGATCATAATACACTTATTACGAAAGAGGTTATGATATTAGCCCAGTGATTCCTATCCCTAGGTTGAGCCTTCTAGAGGACCACTAAATACCCCACTACATCCTGGGGGGTCATCTTCTGGAGAATGTGAGCAGGTTGCACCTGCAGCTGGGTTGAGGGTATCAGGATCCACGGTGTTGAAACTATGCTCTCTATCATCTGATATCATCATCTGCCTCAACATATTCCTGCAGGTAGCTAGTCTGTGCCATTGCTGCCTCCTGGAAGACCTGGAAACTGTGCTTGAAGAATACTCTGGGCACTCTGTTGTAAGCTGTTGGCATCCTGTTAAATGGTGACAGACTTTGCAAGGGTCTGAACCAGTTCCTCAATAATGGAGAGACAGTCTGTCATTGACCACTTGTTCTAGTTAGCCTCACAATGGGTACCAAAATGTTGCAGTGCGGGGTTTTGGTGGAGTTGCGGGTGTTGCCAGTTTGAGTCAATGTGTCTTGAGATAGAAGACTGGTGAGAAGAAACTGTATTCCTTTTTAAAACAAACTTGTGTAGCTTGATAAAATCTGTTTTGCTCTCTGTAAGAGAGGATGGAAAGTTGCCTTGGCTGGAGAGCCTTGTAGATCTAGAAGATCTAGATGTGGGTCTAGGACAAATGCCAGAACATCTGCATATGCACCTTATATTCCTGCTCTTTTGAGTAACAACCAAGCCAAATTCCTTATCTTTTGAGGCCATCTAGTTGTGACCATTGGAGTTTCAGTTAATTGGATCTCCATTGTATTTTATATTTTTTATTACAAAATGTTTTTCTTGAAGCACATTGTGGTGATTTTCACACAAAAGCCATAAAATATTGATTCCTATTATTCTCTTATTTAAAGAAAGTAAATCAAGAAGTTCTTGCAAACTATAGAAAATATTAAACTTTTATTTTTCTTTTCTTGTTTACAGTGTCACACCCCCACCAGCCTCTTCTGAATTGAAAGGCATGTTTTCATGTTACCTAAAACTATACAAGGAACTATCTCTTCAAGAGTGTGTGAACATGAGCTGGTGTTTAAACAGGCAGACAAAGCTGACCACAGGCTGAGAAGTAAAAAATGTATCATTTCCTATCTGCTTTACAGATTGAAACCCTTGGCAGCATGCAATATGTGTATCATTATTAGATGTAAATAATACATTTAAATACTGTTGTGAAATTTAGAGGAATAACAACTTAAATTTTAAACATTAGTATATAATGTTTGCTCTCCAGTTACAAAATATTAATGCAATGCTTTATATTAAAGGCTTTAGTTTTTGGATGGTGCTTCTATTTTCTGTCACAGAATATGGTAAGTTCTTTTTTGTGATGCTGCTTCATAACTTCAGTTTAATTTATAGTGCATACTATAAAGTGGATTAAGCATAAGTGAATTAATGTGATTTTTCTTTTCATAATGAATTCAGTCGGTACTGAAGAGAAAAAAATTGCACATGGTCAACTGAGATCCGTGGTATTTCTACATCCATCAACACCCAAAAATTTGTCAGAGGCAACATGGAAAAAAGAAAACATACTGGTGGGGAAATTTAAAAATGGCATCTCTCACCCTTCATATAAATATAAAAACAGGGCTGAGATTTTCAGAAATGGAACCCTCAAACTCAACTGCATCGTAAAAGAAGATTTTGGAGTTTATTTCCTGGAGCTATATGACAAAACTGGAAAGAATATTTTCAAGGATAATATCACACTGAAAATAGGTAAGATTTATTTTCATAATGTACTGTATTTGGTGACAAGAATAATCAAAGCATCAGTATTAAGCCTTATTATTTGTGCACTTTAAAAATAACACACATGATTATACATGAGCAAAATTGTAAGAATTAAGAAATTGAATATGTAATAAAAATATACAGTATAATGATATCCCATGTATTAAAAGTGGAATTTTGTTACAGGACATAATTTAAGCAAAACATAATGGGTAATCTTATTCTCTCCGTATGACTCAGTCCTCAAATCAGTGTCTACTAATATATATTTTGCTTGATTGACAGCTGTTAATTAATAAAATTTCTGTAAGCAGGGATGATGTACTGTCACTGTTATTTTACATCTTTCTCACAAATAAAAACACATTCTATACCAAACCCGCAAAATCTGTTTCACAGGTTTTCGAAATGCTGACACTCATGGGTCAATAATATTAGGAATCTTCAAGAAAAAAATGATTTTGATGTTGTTTCATGTTACTTATTCATTAATCATTTATTCGAAGTTGGCATATTGCAGGTAAGGTTCAGAATGCAAGACTTGAGTACAGGCTGGACTGGATCAAAGGGAAAACATACACATAGACATTCTAAGGGACAATTTATTGACTTGCCTATTCCAGAAAACAAAACACAAATAGGCACGTACAGTACCCACACCTAGGGCTAATTTTCCCAGATGGTTTCAAACAGAGAAAATCAAAGCACCCAGAGCAAACCCACACAAACACATGGAGAGCATACATACTTCATGCAGATAGCAGTCCAGGTCCAGAATTGAACTCAGGGCCCCAGTTTTGCAAGGCAGTAATGCTAAGTATTGCATCACCGTCCTTTCCCTTATTATTATTGTTGTTACAAAACAATAACAACACAAATGATAATATTTAAGCAGATATACCACTTGAGGTCAGATTCTTGTTAATTCAAGTGGATCACACCAAATATCATGTAATAAAAACTATAAGAAAATAAAATGGCTGTATAAAACAAATGGGAAGAAATTAGGCTGAAATTTGTTTCTCACTTTAGCTACCACAAACTGAAATGAGCAGAGACTAAAAAAGGTACCAAAAAAGTACCAAGCCTGATATACTTTCAATATTAGGCTTTACTTAATTAACTTTTTATTTCCCCTTGTTTTCTGAAGGATGTTATTTCAAAATCTTTTAATCTTTTTTTAAAAAAATCAAACTACAGTTGAATAAACATAACATACAAAGCTTTTTAAAAATGCTTCATTTTCTTCTTTTCAAATGATAGCTTTAAACTTAGTCTTAGTAGTTTTGTAGTTGTTTAGCAGAGTAGTACTTTTTTCCAGATTAATACTGAGCACGTTAGTCGGACAGTTACAGAATACACTGGAAGAAAAACCATGCTCTCAGCCTCTCAAAATGTTTTTCAATGCAAACATAAGAATTAATTCTGATCATGAAGAAAAATACAGTTTTACTCAATTCTGTGTTTCTTTTTATGACTGTTGTTCATGGATATTCAGGCCTTCAGACTTTTATAAACATATCCTGTCCAATCAGTGGGAATGATGATGAAAATACCACAAAGAGAGGTAAGAACTGAACACTGTTGAATACTGTTGGAAACTTGCTTTTGTGTAGCACACTCTGAGGTCCACATTCTAACTGTGCCTTGCCGTACACATAATTATTTGTAAACAAGATTACTAACTAAAGTGCAGCCAAAACCAAAATGTAAAGCAGTTTATGTTTACTTTTAGATTGTCTCTGCCTTGATTACATGCATTATTCCATCTCTTGAGTCACCAATGTTTATTGTTACTTTCAGTTGTCTAGCACATTATTTATGATCTATCCATTACTGAATTTGTCTTTCCAGATTTTCACATTATCATTGATGTACTTTCTGAAAACTACTGTGCCCTTCCGGGATAAAATGATCACTACTGTCATTTTGCTTGCTTTTTGTCTCGATTTGAAACAGCTCGCGGTTTACTTTTCATCTGGGTGGGAATCCATGTTACAGTTGTCATATTATCATACATTATTTTAAACCTGCGGAAGAAATTGGGAAAAAAGAGAAAAGAAGGTGAGATTACCGATATTGACACTTTGAATGTCCTGTTTTCCCTCAACACACTATCAAATAGTAGAAAGAAAATATCCATAAAGTCCTTTACGAATGTAATCAGTTGATGAGTTTTGGAATAAAAAAACAAACAAGTGACAAAACAAGTACAGTACATGTAGATGATTTTACAGATTATCTAATACAGATTCAGTTTATTTCTGATGATAATCACTTGTCCCCCAAAGGGTGCTTCAGCTTGACTGCGTTTTTAGTTAAAAGGAAGTCTGTGGCTTAGTCACTGCCAAAACCACAGCACTGAATATGGCAGCTCAATTTCACTTTCAGAAGAGGGTTAGAACACCTTCCACTATTACAAATTATTTTTATAGTACCCCGAACTTCCTCATTGAGAACAGGCATAAGTAACAGCATTTAAATGAATAAATTAATTCTGTATTAGATAAACTGTAAAATCAGATATCTCTGCTTTGTTGTTTAACTATGAACCAACTCACATCCACTTGTGATGTACTTATTTTTGTTGCCGTAGTATCTCATTCTGAAACCTTTTGTCAAAGGTTTTTCTGAAAGGACTTTGATATTGTAACGCTTACGGCCGACAGGCGCTGTGTAAGAGCCGGCGTACCAGAGCAGGTGATGTCACCGCCCTTCCCTGTGATAGCAGGACTACAGCTACTGGGCTGTAGAGAGATCTTTCTTTAGCTCACGGGGCTGGGTCACTGCAGAGAGGCGCGGGAGTCCCGGGTTCGAGCCCCCGATGGTGGGGGGCCGACCTAATGTGGCAAGGGCGCCCGCCTGAGCCCCCGTTGCGTTACAATATGTTTTTTTTCTTTTTTGCCCCCCTGGGGATGAATAAAGTACTTTGAAATTAATGGAATTTCAGTCATTAATCTGTGCATGACTGGGAAATGAAATAAATCTGTCATGTTGAAGTATCCGCACAAGAATTGCTGATCACTCTCATTAAAAAACCTCATTGGACCTCAAAAACCTCATTGCAATATACATGGTTCTTCTTTTAGGAAACAGAGAACTCCATTTTCACTTGAACCAACCAAGAGAGGCTGAGGGTCATGCACATAGGCTGGAAGGTAGGATATACTCCATTTAAAAAGTTTATTGCTCTTCAGAATCAAGTTATTATGCTGTTTTTGTTTTTAAAAGGCATACAGTACACTGGTAGGTAGTAATAGTGCTTTAAGTGTGCACACTTCTCTTTAAATACGTTTTTTTTCAGAGTTATATTAACCTCCTAGTTGCATAATAAAATGAAACATTCGAGTGTAAGCAAGAAATTACACGCACCATGAATAGAACATAATAAAGGGCAGTAGGAATAGAAGTCATCAAATCCATCTTATCTCAAGAGCTGTTTATTGCTGTGTCACAATCACACACCCAGTGGTCACCTTCTAACAATTTTTGAAGCTTCAAGTTTTTACTACAGAGCTCAAGATCCTAAACTAGGAATGGCAAACAAAGTATGCTTCTGAAACATTCAAAAGAAATGCAACATGGCCTCATATACTGTACAGTAGTTACTCACAGAACAGCTATGGTACTCTAATTCCCTTGATCAGGTTTGAAAGGGAAAGGGTTTGCAATGATTCTCTTTTGAGCACGGCTATGGTCAGCCAAGCGGATGGAAAAGCCTGCAGATAGAAGCGACAAGCAGATACAATAGATGAACTGAGGCAAACAACACAGAAACAACCAGTCAATTTCTCTGTTTAACCTTTTGTTTAACCTCTTGATCATTTAACCCTCTGTCTTGTTTTAGAAGAGATGTAAACAAGTGAGTGGTACGAGTACACCCTATGCAAACAAATAATTACATGGAAATGGACTAACTGAGTTTTAATGAAGATAGTAAATCCACATACTAGCAAAATACATACAGCAAATGAGTGCTTATTATGCCAGATATAGGGCATTCATACAACACAGCAGCAAATCGAAGCCGGTCTAACCAGCTGCCTTTATGTCTTCTTGTCCTTCAGCTTTACCAGAATAGGAAATGACACAAAACAGACTCAACTTTACTAACTACCTGCTATAATAAGAAAAGTCAAAAGCCCATCTTGTTTATATGTTTCTAGAATCTTAAAATACTCAATAATATAATTGAATTCCATCTACTAAATTTAGCCCTGCCCTGAACCTATCATGCGTGGTTTGTGCTTCTGTTACCATATGCACAGGTTTTCTTTGTGTCTGCCTATCATGCGAAAATGTGACAGGCTGTAGGTCACTGATGTAAATAGAAAGAGCAGCAGTCTTAGAACCGATCTTTGTGGTAGCCCTACTTTATTCTGAGCTCATGCCCTTTATCAGTACTCTGTGTTTTCTGTGCTTTATCTGGTATTTACAGTAGCTATGTGTAGAGATTATCTCATGGCTTCCTACAGCTTTAAATCTGTCTCCTTATTAGTCTTGATGCAACATGTGCACGTTAATTAAATAACAGTAATTAACTTTATCTGCTCTACAGGTTCTTCCTTGAAAGAGCTCTGAGGGTCTTGATCTATTTTTCTATTGGGGAACAAATCTCCTGAAGTATTAAGTAATAAATTTCAGGATCACATTTAAATAAAATATTTTTGTTAGTGAGAAGTAAAAAAAAAACAGTAAAGGAACTGGAGAGTTTGTGGTTGGATGAACTTGGGTGGATAAAGAAAATAAAAACTTTGTTTTAATGTTTTACTATGGGACTGTTCAGCTCAAGAACTCATTCAGCTATTGGATTTTTTGTAGATGCAGAAAAGAACATCTATGTTGAAATGCATGTGCCGAAAAATGTGATTAAAGACGACAAAGAGAAAGATGTTAACTCAGCATTAAAAGGTGAATGCCTGAAGAGGTTTACATCAAATTGTGGTAACTCCCATGAAGTGACAAATTAATCAAATTAATCTAAATAGTCTTAGTTAAACAGAGGTGTGATTTTTATGTTAAAGTACCACTGGCATTTCTTACCGTGGTATCTGTACAAAATGGATTTATTGTCAAAGTTGAGTAAAACATCGTAACTTCTAATTGTAACTAATTCCATTGTATAGATCCTGCTTCTTATTTTAATCATCGTAGTGCATGAATGAAAATGTTCTGAAATGAAAATGTTCTGAATCATTCCGTATTCCACTGAAAAATTAAATCAAAGGAATGTGAATAATGTTTTAGTTTGCATTAATGGTTTTTTAACTCTTCTAGGTCTTCCTGAATTTCACTCATCTTTCTTCCATGAGGCAAGACATGATTCAACAACAGAAGAAGAAGATATATATGTATGAAAATATAATGTTGTGAATCAATTGAACTCTTTAATTTATTTTATTGTAATACCACCTTTTCTTATGAAATAACCAAAATCTTCTTCATTTATGTTCTTGTTAATATTATATAATTCTACTTTTGGACACAGTCAGCAACAGCATATTGTTTACCATTATAGGCATGAACAAATACAGTACTTTTAATGTGCAGATTGGAAATGTTGCTCTTACTATTCAATGCTCTTAAAATCCACGGATAGACCATGTTTCAATGTTATATCTGAATAAATCAGATTTTTTTTCTCTTTTTTTCTTGCTTTATTCAATTATTAATAAATTAATATGCAAGGTACTGTTAAATGAATAAGAGATTATATGCACATAAGGCTGTTAGCAATTATGTGCAATAATGTAGTAACCAAACATTTAAGATGTCATTCCTTTCCATTATTTATTCCATCAAGATCTCTTTATTTGCAATCAAATGAGGGAGAATGAAGACAAGCTTTAATTATATTTGCATTTAACAATATTGAATATGCAAGTTGTATTAAACTTTACTTTGTAAACGTGGAGAGGAATTGAGTGGTACTGAATACTTCACATTCAGCCTCTGGTGGTGGGCTTGGAAAATCTTCCATTTCGCCTTCTTGGCAATTCTGTGTGCAATCTTCCATTTCACTTTCCTGGCAATTCTGTGTGCAATCTTCCATTTCACCTTCTTGACAATTCTGTGTGCAATCTTCCATTTCACCTTCTTGACAATTCTGTGTGCAATCTTCTATTTTGCCTTCCTGGCAATGCTGAATGCAATCTTCCATTTTTTGTTCTTCATATAACCTTGTCTGTGCATTGTTCGGAAAGACTAGAAGATGTACATAAATCGATAAACATAATAATTAGTAAATGTTTATTGCAGTGTGATTTTTACATTGAGCAAAAAAAGTTATTTTGCAGCTCAGGTAGAATAGAGTATAAGAAAGGAGAAGAGAAATCTAGAACTTGCTAAGTGTGGTTTACAAATCCTTAAAGCTGGCTGTTGGTTTTGAGTTTCTTCTGACAGAGAATTTCCCCATGTCTGGGATAGACACAAAGAAAACCTTTGCTTTACTCCACTGGTACTTTAATTTACTGGAGTTGCTTTAGAATTCACAAAACGTTACTGATGAATAATGATCAATATTCAACACGTGTTAACTCCTTATTCACATGTTTGCAAATGCATATCTCAATTATAGAACCCTTTTAGGAAGTTTGAGAAACATAATAAATTAATTGAAAATTGCTTGTGTCCTTACATAAATCTTGTTGACGACATGGACATTTTTTTGCCAGGCAGTATCCAGCTAAACTGAATATTATCAGCAGCGAAATGCCAATGGGAACAAAGAGTAACAATCCCCATTTCTGATCTTTGGAAACAAAAAAAGACAACAGTAGTGCTTTGTCATTTTTAAAGTAACAATAAACATTTTAAAATTATTAATACTACAGGTACAATTGCCCATTTATATTTCTAAGTATGTTCTGTATATCTGTTTTAATCCGCACCTTATTGAAACTAAGCCTTGTTTTCTAATGTAATTTAAGATTTCTCACAAGTTGGAAGTTACAAATTGACTAAATCTTTCTGATAACAGCTTCAGAAGAAATATTGTGCTTACCTACACAAGGAAATGAGACAGAATCACTCTGACTTATGCTACTGTAGTGTTTTACAGCACAGACTAATTGCCCATGAAAATGACCTAAAACTACAGTCTGGTTTCCGCTTCTATTTTCAAGTGGGCTTCCATTCAGAGTCCATTCAATAAAAGGGTCTGCATTGCTTTTTACAGAGCATCTGAACTCAGCTTCACCACCAGGTATACACGTGTGCTCTATTACAGGCCTGTGTACTGCAGGAAAAACAGAGGTTATTCCAATGTGATCTTCCCTATTAGAACAACATTATGTTACATTCTGTACCATTTCCATTATCAAACGTACTGGTCGCCAAGGTTAATTAATTTTATTTGCAAAATAAGTTTAGAAAAAGACTATACTTTGAATGTGCACATGATAGTATAAGTGAGGTGAGACCAAGCCATTTTTCTCATCTAGCTCATTTGATTTCTAGAAGGCAGGTGATCAAAGGAATCTAATTTCTGTTTCCTGAAAGAAATGAGAATGTTAACTACAGCACAAGACAAGACTCACAAGGTAACATATAATACTCCTGAATAAAAATGAATAAATTGATCTACTACTTTTGAAAAAAAAAATCACTATACTGCAGCTTTCTGAAATGGCATGATCCTAAGAGGCATTACTGTAGCTTTTAATGCATGCAAATGCATGTACATTAATCTACAAGTATCACATACTTGAAATTTCTCTCTACAATTAATGGCTATCTCATTTTGTTCATGTCTGTGGTTTCAAGATTACCAATTACGAATAACTGTGTTGTCCATTTATGAAGGATATCTCCATTAGAAACTTCCAGAGTGTAATTTCCAGCATCGTTTTCCTCAGCGTGCTGCATTTTCAGGGTCCCATTTTGGAAGACTTCTGTTCCATGTTGGAACTCTCCATTATACTGAGGGTGGTAATGCACAAATTGAGCCACCAGAGTGTCTCCTTTTTTCCACTTTGCATTAGAAATATTTTGAAAATCCACATTTCCATCGAAGAGGGTTACTGAAAATCCCAAATCTCCATAAACAAAAGGTAATTCTGTTACACCTGCAGCACCAAAACACACACATCAAAACAAAGAATAAAAATAAATAAATTCACAGTAAACAGCAGTATTTAATTCTGGAGCAATATTGAAAGTAGATGTTAGGAAGCAGTTCTGGGAAATTGACATGATTCAGAATTTTTCAACATAAGACTATTAAACTGGTGAGAGTGTACAGTATAGTATTTGATTTAAAACTCTTAGTTTTACAGTTTTAATTTTAATAAAATTATACATAATTTATAATTATACAGTATATATTATCATATACATACATTATTTTGAATTCTTTAAAGTGCTTTATAATTAGTGTTCATTCATTCTAATCAAGAATTATAATATGACCAAAGACCTTCTTTAGAAAATGTCTTTAAACTAAGACCGTTCTCTTTAGTGTATCATTAAAATACTTTTGAAGAAATGTTCTATTTTTTCCACATTTCATATCGAAGACCCACAAATGTTTTTAAAAATTGCCATATTACATTGTCTTGTCTTATGCATAATCTTTTGTTTTCCCCTGAAATCTGACTTCCTCAATCCTCATCTGCTCTAGACAACTGCAAAACTGGGAACTACTTTACATGTCTCTTCCTATCAGAAATGACCATTCCGATTGTGTGACACAGTGTTTCATTTTTCAAGAAGCAGATGCTTATAATGCAAAGAAGAAATGTGTAGAATATAGAAATAGCTGAATAGAATGATACTTACACTGAATGATTAAATGGACACTGGCATTGTACACCAGTTTCCCATTTTTGTAAGCCTGCAGCTTATACTCTCCTGCATCACCTATCACAGTTCTCTCCAGAACGATTGTCCCATTTTCATTGAATGTCGTTCGGTTTTTGTAGCTTGAACCGAAAGAACTCTTTTCATTTTTATGTTTGAAAACAAAATTATTGCCTTTTGTCAGCTTCACATCAGAATACTCCCTGATCTCTGACCCAAAGGGAAGGGCTACTGACTCTCCAACTTTTCCAAAAACCAATGTTTCTTCACTGCTGTTTGCTACAAAAAACACAAAGTACTCAATTTTAATCTGAGTAAAGAGCTTTCAGTTATACAGTGCTGATGTATTAACGTGGGTAACTGGAATTTAACTACAGGTTTTGATTACATAATTGGTAAGAAGTGACTAGTGTTTGTCCACAAGTGATTCTTTAATGTAAGGATTGCTCATCAGATCAGAATTTTCAAAACAAAAAAGTGAAAATGACCTGATTGTGCACATTGTCTCCGTTTTACATACTGTACTTTATTATTAATGTTTGTTAATACAATTATATTCAAGTATATATACAAGTATAAACAATTAAATCAATTTTGATCAATGATAATATAAAACCCAAACTTATCATCATAATTACAAAAGGATTCTCAAACTATGCACTCCTTTAAATTGTCAAGTCCAGGACAATGCATACAATTTTTTTTTCTGAAAATATTGCAACAATTTGCATTTTGTAAAACATAATTCAATATCTAAGAAATATTATGCAATATAATTTACAAAAATATTTTGTTTCTAAAACAGATTGCAAATACATCAATGTTCAATATAAATGAAAAATGTAATTGAAATTTTTCTTACCATAAAAAAAGGACAATATATTCCAGACTAGCAAAAGAGGACGATACGGTACCATCATAAAAGCCAAGGAAGGTGAAATGAAACAGAGCTCTGCTACGTATGTGGTGAGAACTGTAGTTATTGACATTCTTTAAAAAACCACAGACTATCAGTGCTCCATTGCTGCTGATTTACAAAGAAGTGATACTTTGTTATTTATACCACTATAGGAACCTAAAAGTACAAATAGTGCTTCTCATAAGAGTTTGATATGTATTTAATAAACCCATAAGCTCACGTACTACGTTTTTTTAAACCAACTCAGCAAACAAGCTATAGGAACATAACTTCTGGAACCCTACAGTATCACACCATGTACAGCAACAGTGCCACCCAAAATAATAAAGCATTACACTCATTCCTGACTAAATTACAAAGCAAGAGAAGCCACATTTTCATTTTTGAAAAAAAAATATTACAATGGTAGGCTTCAAAACCAATGTATTTTGTTTAAAAAAGTCTATATAATTTATGACTTAAAACGTTTTTGAATTTGAAATAGCTTACATATAAGAAAACTAATCCTGACAAAGTATTGACAAATTATTTCTAGTAATAGATGTGTCCATTAATTTACAGAATGCAAACATTTTGCAGCTTTTACCAAGTTACTGTATCTACTGCTTCTCTTCTCTCTATCATTTACCCGATTGTGCACTTTTGACATGAGCCCACAACAAATGTATATCAGTCAGTGGCCAGATTTTAGTCAGTCTTACGCAGTTCCTTTGCTGTAATTAAATTGATGGTTTCTGAGCATGTGAGATGGGTTCAAAATAACATGGCAACACCACAGTGCACAACAAATACAAATACAGTACGAATACAAAAATGTAAATACAGTAAATTCATTGAAAAAATCAGATGACAAAAAATTGAGTTACTAGGAAAATACTAGTATTTTGTTTCAGTTGTTATCTACCCTCTACTACTAAAAGTAATGTTTGCAGACATGAACTATTTAAATAATTGAGTGAATGCTTTTGTCCATGCAGATTATTATTTTTTGCAAAGTAACGTGATATACAGTAACTTACAATCATTTGCACACATCTGCAAGTTTGTGCTGCTGATTAACGATTAAACTTTGTCTGTTACTGTGAATATTACATACACAAATTTAGACAGCAAATGACATTTTAAGTCTGCTGTGGTTTGTACATGGTTAAAATTAGATACTTTACAAAAATATCCCCAGAGAAATACATAGTTATTCAGCGCTGTAAGCTCATTACACTTACAATCCTGTACATGCAGTGAGATCTTTTGTAAATGAGAGTTCTTCAGTGACAGAATTAACAGTATTGTAACAATGACTGTATAATTTTTACATATTACAAGTATTTTTTTCTAAATCTTTAATTTTCTTTTGATATTTTTTTCTATTGTTTCTCATTACAGTGGTTTGGATGAGTGCTTGTTTTTTCTCTGTATGTTCCCTATTTAACTTAAGAGTATAGCACGTAACAGAGAGGACATTGTTTAAAATATTTGTTTTCTTTTAAAGAGGATGATAAGTCATTTTATGAAAGCAGCTTTCCACTAACTTCCTAAGACAGTCCATATACTGAAAAAAACTTTCTTGTCATTTTTGTTCATTTTGATGAAAATGGTTTGCCGTGTTGTTTCCATCTTCTTTATTTCTTACTTCTTAAGAATTACAGGTAAGTAAAGTGAAAAAAAAAGTAAATGGATAAGATGTAAAGCAAAAAAATGTTTTTAAAACTAATTTAAAAAAGACATGGCTAAGAAGTATTTATTTCACCTAATGATACCAATAAAAATGCCCAATGTACATCTACCTCCCAATATACAGGACAATATCTAAAAGAAAAGTACAATAGATTTTTCATCACATGTGATGTTTGCTTTGAATAAAAGGGATTTTCCAAATCTGAATAATTTGGATTTTTTTTGCTTCGTATTTCTTTAAAACTATATACTGCATTAAGATTCCTCAGACGATATATTGCTAGCATCCTAAGTCTGAGTTACAGTATGCTCTTCTATTAAGGTACTGATGAATGGATCAGCACACCTTCCTCTGTTTATGGAAATCTTGGAGATTCTGTATGGTTCATCCTGGACAGTGGAAATCTTCCGAATATATCTGACATCATCTGGAAGAAAGAGGAAAATCGTATTGCGCGGTTTAGGGAGTCAGAGTCCTGGACCTTTGCTGATTTCATGAACAGGGCAGAGGTTTTTGCAAATGGGACTCTCAAAGTGGAGCAAGCTCGTGAAATTGATAAAGGACTTTACACAGTGGAGATTTATGACACCAATGGGAAGAATGTTTACAAGAAAGACTTTCGGCTCCAGTTAAGAGGTAACCTATTTCTAGACAGGACAAAGTAAAATCTTTTTTTTTGCATCTTTATGATGAGATTTTATCTTTTTCAAAAATTGATAGTTATTACTTTTTTAGTGTGTAAATGTTAAACAGTCTAAGTGGCCATCCTGGAGTTGGATTAACTTTTTGTACAACAGGGAGATGCGTTTGATATATATTTGGGTTTTGATTCTGAACAATACTGCTAAGGGACCCACAGCTGAAGGACATACAGATTCAGTTATTCAGAATTTCAAAATATTTAATTTCCACACTACTTTCTACTGTTGGGCTTTTGAGCTAAGAACCTCTTAATTTTCTTAGCTTTTTCTGTGGACTATACAGTACACAATACACATTACATAACCATGAATCAACTACCTTATTAACTCACAAACATTGTAATAAATAACCATGAATGAGTTTGTATTCTTAATATCTGTTTTTCTATTAGTTGTGAATCGTTCAAACAAGACACTTGTCTCAGAATGATCACATTAAAAACATTTTTTGTTTATTTAACAGGAGAAGCACCTGTGTTTGTCTTTGCTTATGTGGTAACACACAGTGTTTTCCAAGCAATCGTCTCAGTCCTTCTCATCATTTTCATCATTCATCAGTTCAGAATGAAAAGAAAGCAAGGTGAGAAAATCAAGTTCATCATCTGTTTTATGGGTTTATTATTCTGTAGAAATGAATAACCGTGAGCTACTCATTTTAGGTGTACTTCAGTAACAATCTTTTACCAAAATGTCAACAACGGTAATGTCAAAAAAAATGTGCACACCTTCGTGATTTGTATACTTTTCCATCTGAAAAGTTTAATAATTGGTCATTTTCATATGACTAACATAACCTTAGCACTTTAAGTCCAATTTGCTTTTACCCCTCAGAAAAGTAACCTTCTGAAAAGGTGTAGGGTCTAATTCTCTCATGACAGCGTAGCCCACTTCTTTCTTAGAGCTATACAGTCTTGCTCTTTGCCCACTTTCAATGCATTTCATTGGATTCATTATCTCATAACAAGATCTTAATGAACGTGACCTTTTCCAATCTCTGTTTCTCCTAGATCGAATACAAGTGCAAGGCTCCCCCTACTTTGGGATCAATGACAGAGTGGACGAGGACCAAAAATGAAAGTGTTTAAAGGAAGTGAGAAACAGAAATACTGTACCTTCAGAGTACATTCATATGGAGCTTCCCCAGCTGTAGCTATTTTACCTTGATTATTTATGATAAAACCAATACGTACATTAGTCTTACAGACTGAACTAAAATGATGTGTTCTTTTAGGCTAAAGGCCTTCCACCAAACCCAGATGGCTTTAGACAGATCTTGTGTTGTGCATCAAAGGGGTGATGATTTATATTGCTGTACTCATAAAGCAAATATCCACAAGAAAAAAGGCAAAATGTTCCAATGGGAAACATTGGTTTTGTCCATGGTTGAAGTTGCAGCAAACACCCACACTGGGTGAGATATTGAGATATTGAGATATAAGTTCACTTACAGTAGGTTTTGACTCAAGTAACTTTTTGTTAACATACACTATATATTTTTGGCATGTACAGTAAGTGCATATTCTTCATTGTTTACTACATCCCAGACACAGAAAAGATATAATTTTCCTTTTAAGTAAAACTCCAGTCTGTTTCAGAAATCGAAGAGTGTTTTCATTTTCACATAAGGCAACATTATATTATTTAAAGGCTTGTTTTATTTCATAACCACAGATATGTCCATAATATGTACAAGGTTGACAAAACTATTAAAAAACCCAAAGCACATTACATCATCCTGAAATGGAGTTTTCTTATCCTGGCAATGTCACTGTAGTTGGACCTAGAACAACATTTTTTTAACATTGTAAAATAAAACTGATGATGTTGTGGTCAGCCATATGCAAAATATTTACTTTTAATAAAACATAATTAAACAGTCAATGCACAAACATATAGCAATGAAAATGTGAAAGTTTTTTTTTTCAAACTTTAAAACATCAGAAATAAATATGACAACTTTTATGGAAAAGTATATATTATATATAAGTATATATTTGTGTTACCAGAAATGCAAAATCGGCTAAATTGTTTTATTTGTGACATGTTTATTTTTTAAAGATGCATTTGAGGATATACTTCTTACAAAAAGGTGAAATTGCACTTAATCCTTGCTTGTGATATAAATTACTGTATGTAATAAATCAACCAGCTTCTACATGTGTTACAGGTAGACTCTGTTAACTTTTCCCCTCAGAATAAAGTTAATGAAATAGCGCTTCAATGAAGTCTTTTTTATCTTTTTGAAAGGATTGTATTTGTTCAACTCACATTTTCAAATTAAATATCTGTCACAGACTCATAATAATAGAATACAATCTAAATATAACATTTTGAACAAGAACAATACAACAATTTTGGATGAAAATACTGGAAACAAAGGACAGAACTGAAGGAGTTACGATTTTTTCAGAAAAATATAATACTTACTTCAAATATTCTGCTTATTCTGTTTTCGAGTATAGATGTGAAATGCAGATGCTATCATGCAAATAAGCATAATGGCTGAAAATTTAATTCCAATACACCAGCCACTTCCGGTCACCTGCATTGAATCTTCACATGTTTAAAATTAAACATGATTAAGATTAAATATGATTAAGAATTAATTCAAATGTATTAAAACAGATGAACAGAAGAAAAAAAATACTATCCAAAGTAACTCTATTTAAACCACAGGCTTTACAAAACCAAGTTAATAAAATATCTGCTGCAGTGTTGACATGGCAACAGAATGTGAACACATCTTAGTAGTTATTTATTTAGGACAAATTTACTCTTTTCTAAATTACACATATACTGATATGTTCAACGTGATTATTCTATTTAACTAAAAAATCTGAATGTGGAAAGTGGCTTACCTGTACAAGAAAAAACAAGGGTTTCACTCTTATTTTGGGTGACATTATTTGAAACAGTGCAAGTGACTCTGCCAGAAGAATTCCTTAAACTGAGTTTATGGTTTTCAACATTATGAAAAATGCCAACACCAAGCAATGGCTTGTTATTAAAACTCCATGAATACAAGGGATTGTCACTCTCTACAGAGCAGTGAAACTCCGATTGTCCTTGTGAACAGGTATATTCTATGATAGGCTGAGACACTGGATCTGGAAAAACGAGAGGGAAATCATTATTTATTTTACCCTTTTTTGTGTGGTTAATACAGTTTACATTTAAATGAATATTGTCTTTTCAGGTTGAAAATCATTTTACAATACTGTCCAATGCTATTAAAAAGGTCATACAATTGTATTCCTAATAACATTTAAATCTAGGAAGCTGCATATACTCTACATAGTAATCCATATAAAATTGCTGCTTTAGTGTGAAAAGGGTGTACAGTAGTTACTTCCTCACACATCCTTGCTATTATTCTAAGGTAGAATTTAATGCCAAAATGGTTACTGATAGAAAAATAACTATCTGTTTAATTTACTTTCATTAATGTTGCTTGATTAATTCACCATGAATGCAGGCCTGTGTTGTAACAGCTTACCTGTAACAATGAGATGATATTTGATTTGGAGGATATTTTTTCCATTTTTGTCAAACAATTTAGCTGTAATCTCTCCAGTATCATTTTTGCGAACATTGTCCAGTCTGAGAGTCCCATTCAAAAAGATTTCACCTTGCCTTCCATAATAGTGAACAGTAGAATTTCTCAACTTGGCCACTCTGAAAGTTTTCATATACCAGTCGAATTCATGGAAGTTTAATTGGGTACCATTGTCCATAGTCAGGTAGACTGTACTGCCCGTCGCCACATACAGATTTGGGAAGGCTCTGCTGTCTGCAGCACACAAAAGGGTTAAATCATACTCCTTGTTAGGTTATTTAATAGTTTACAAGACGATACAATAAAAAAATTAAATCTACACCCAAAGCCACTTCCAAGATCGATACTGTATGGATGACAAGTCCAAAAGACTGAGACAAATATGTGGATAACATTAAAAAAATATATATATTGACCCACCCGCCTATCAAAACTTCAAGTTGGACGAAACGTAAAACTGAGGCTTTCCATGGTCATAAAAATCTCAGGACATTTTTCAAAAATAGTAGGGGTGTTACCCGTGTGTCCTGAACAAAACTCCCTCTGGCTCTTACCAGTCATTACTTCCTAATAATCCCCATCTCTGAATTGTCATCAGCAGAAGCAGCTTTATTATCTTTATTTTTTAAAAGATAATATTAGATATTCAATTTATCAGTGGCATGAATGTCTTCCTAAAAACATAAAACACAGGTTTATAGTTTAAATTAGTAATAAGACCTGGTGATTGATTCTTTAAAATTATGATGTTTAAGCAATATGGATTTATTGTAAATTGATTTAATTCCATTTCCATAATCATAAAAAGACTGCTAAATTGATTTAATATTTTATCAAATATCCAAAATCTAATAATTTGATTGTCCTGGACTTAATACTCCAATTAATGAATCAAATTAATAATACCAAAGCATCAATTTTCCTGATCTACAACTTATATTCATACGCACAATAGGAATTTATTTAATTAATTGAGCATTATTATTTTATAACTTTTAGATCTAATGAAGTTAGATTTAGACTTTTAGATCTAATGAAATTATCAAAAAGAATAAAGGAATCAGATTTTATTCTATTGAAACTGTACCTCAGAAATGGGTTATATTTGTATTATCTTAAAGGTTGAGTATTTGTGATCAATTTCACATTGAATTTGATTATGACAAGAATTACTATTTACTGCCAAAATTTACAATTTACTGAATTTTTACAACAGTGTGTTACTGCACCACTTTTAAATTTAAAGAGAATACCTGGAATGGAAATAATAAAAAAATACTGTACCTGGTAAAATATTGTTATGCATATAGCCAGTATTTTATCTACAGTATTTGTTTGTATTATTTTGCATGTAGTACATTGCAAAATAATACTAATACTACAAATATCACTCTAATTCTCTAAATCTGCCTGCAAGATTTTGCCATTGCTTTTATCATTCCAGCAATACCACTCCCATTAAAATGAAAATAAAATTAAAGGTTACCTCGTAATAACAATGCAAGAGAGTAGATCAGACATAACCATGCATTCCTCTCCATTGCTACAGTCTTTGTGGGGAAGTTAAATAAACTCAAGTTTTTTTTAGACTGAGTAGAAAATCGAAAGCTACTTTTTCAAAGGTGGATTTGAAACCGGAAGAAACAGCGAAAGAGAATTAGCATCTTCAATGTACAGTACACTGTAGGCTCATTTGGTTCCTACGTATTAATAGCTTAAAAGGTCTTGTGCAGTATTTGAAATGGGTAAAACTTAAACCACGAGTGCCCCTGTCGGTCAACCAATTGATGTACCGCAGTATTTTGCGTCATGATGAAATAATAATAAAATAATGAAATTATTTTATTATTATTTCATTATATTATTTCATTATTATTATAATAATAATGAAAATAAAAAAGCCTGGATTCTCATGTATCTGATACAAGTATCTTTTAATACAGTCTTTGATGTGCTCTTGAGGATCCTTGTGATATTTTGAGCTCTGGTTGAATGATAAGTGTCGCAGTTTAAATAATTTTCGTAGTTAGAAATTATGAAACTCTCTGTTAAAAGCAAGGGAGTTTTTATGTCCGTTGCAGTAAAAGAAAATACCTGACAAAGTAGGGCTTGGACAGATTCCAAGTGCTTGTACAAATGTGCTAAAGAAATTATCCACGAAATGCTGTGGTGTTTGTCAAAGAAAAAACTAAAAGTATTTTCGTTTAAAATGACAGTTAGAAAGAATGTGGACAAGCGTAATACTTTGAGTTTACAGCTTTTCCAAAGTCATTCATTATCAATACTATAAGTAATATCTTCTTAGCTTAAAAGGTCTTGTGCAGTATTTGAAATGGGTAAAACCCATTAAGAAGCTACACACAATAGTACTTGACCTCTAATTTATCAACAATATGTTAAACGGTGTTATCATGAACTTCATGATTTTAGGGTTTATTTCTGAACTGCCAGTCCAGCTACGGGATCATCTTTAGCCATTTTTCTTCCTTGTTTAAGCTTTGTTATACAATGCATTACTGTGCAATCATGAACGCTAAACCTTCTGTAACACAGAAAACTCAAATTGATGGATTTGTTTTGTAGAAACTCCTAACACCTTTTTAAAACTCTTTTTATTCAATGAACCTGTAAAGACCTAATGGCACATCTAATTTACAGATACCAATATGGACATTAATTCTATATAGTATTCTAAGTAGTATTTGACTATACAGATGCAGCCACTCAAAGTATGGGGCACAGACACGTACTGCGGGTAATTGGCTATGGCCTCGCGCATCATGACGCAAAATACTGCGGTACGTGATTGGTTGACCAACAGGGGCACTCGTGGTGCATTGGTCGGTCGTAGAAAGATTTAAATGTCTTTACTGTGCCCGTTTTAGAATTGAATATTTATATGGAATTTTACCACTGAAGGGAAATCTTAGTAGCTGAGCATAAAAAGAATAGGAGCATACTGTAATGCGTGTGAAGGCCATAAACGATATTAATTTTGGAACATAAACATACAGTATATGGCTGGTCCCGGTACTTTAAAGAAACCTGTTTTTCTAGCTTTTAAAGTCGTGCAATGTGTAAGCAGTAACACATCATTATATCTTACATATGAAAAATACATAATATAGCTACCAAAAAACCCAAATGTGTTTTTAATAAAATGCTTTTATTCACTCATAATCTGACAATTTCAGGAAGACTAAGGAAGGACTAAGGAAATTGTCATCTGTTGTTGAAGCTCTGTGAGCTCGGTGACTTTGAGACAACTTGTTATCCCAAGTTGTTTGAATTGCCACAATTCTAATAGAGAAAAAAGACCTGACTGACAAGATTTAAGATGTGGCTGTCAATGTTGGATTAAAAAAAACACGTTGCCCGACGTTAGTTGCATTGCTTGAAAAATAATTTTATTTCAAGAGACTGGATAAGTAATTCAAGTGTTTTTTTAACTTCCTGAAAAACAAGTAATAAAATTCAATTCAATTTAAAGGTCTTTATTAGCATGACAGATGGGTACAATTGGTGTTGGGTATTTACTTTGTAATCTTTATTGCTTTGAGATGCCACTTTTAAAGGTGATATATAAAATCAAGGCTTTAATTTGCTTTAACTCCACAAGTCTGAGTTCTTGTGTCCGTCCTATCTGAGCCCAAAAGTATTACAATATGTATCTTTATAGCAGGTGGTGTACAGCTTTTTAGTATAGATTACACTTTTCTAAAATGTATTTAAAAATAAAAATGATTACAATCTAATCTTTCCACGTTTGATCCCAAGATCCCAAGAAAAATAAATCTAAACGGGGAGAAAGCTATGTGAAAGTTTATTAAGATACTTATAAGACTACACAGCCCAATTCATGTTGCATTTGTCTGATTGTGAGGCAAAACAGCCCTACACAGCCCTGTTGCAGTACACGAATATAATCATATCATTATTAATTTCTTTAGATTTGCGATTCCGTATTATATTAGCAGAAAAGCTTAAAACTACCACTTTTTTACACGCTATTTCACATGTTAGTTAAAGACTTCGATGCTTAAAATGTTTAGGGAGAAATGGAATACCGGTGTGTATTTTTTCTTTGAAGTACCGATTCGTGGAATCTGACTGATTGACACCCTTCTGAAGTGGTTCCATAATATCTGGTATACGGAAAAGAAAGCGTTAATAAAAAAGCCTGGATTCTCATGTATCTGATACAAGTATCTTTTAATACAGTCTTTGATGTGCTCTTGAGGATCCTTGTGATATTTGAGCTCTGGTTGAATGATAAGTGTCGCAGTTTAAATAATTTTCGTGGTTAGAAATTATTAAACTCTCTGTTAAAAGCAAGGGAGTTTTTATGTCCGTTGCAGTAAAAGAAAATGCCAAAAGTAGGGCTTGGACAGATTCCAAGTGCTTGTACAAATGTGCTAAAGAAATTATCCACGAAATGCTGTGGTGTTTGTCAAAGAAAAAACTAAAAGTATTTTCGTTTAAAATGACAGTTAGAAAGAATGTGGACCAGCGTAATACTTTGAGTTTACAGCTTGTCCAAAGTCATTCATTATTAATACTATTAGTAATATCTTCTGTAAAGGCTTTGATGCATAAATATTTCTGATAAAGGTAGGTTGTATACTTTTGTCCAACTGAGCAATCTTGCTTTCATAAAATATACCAACTTTTTAATGACTGATGATTAACATGCTGTAATACACAGTTTAAATTTAAAAGCTCAAATGCTGTACATGAGAGGTTAAGCTTTATTGGCTCCTCCTGGCTGTTTTACAAGGTGATTCCGGATACTTTCCGGCATGACGTCAAATGACGTGATACACTGCGTGATACTGCGTTATACTGCGTTTTGATGCGACACGCCCACCGGGGTATACCGCGAAATACCCCACCCATTTTGAATGGCTGCATCTGTACAGTATATAAATTATACAATAGTTACAATCTAACTACGTGAATTGAGAACCATCTGAATTTCCTTTGCAATCCAATTACATGAGGGTTGTATAAATTACACCTGCAACTCAGAAAGACCTGAGCACAGAAATGAAGAGAAGAAAGAAGAAGCTGGCAAACCAGAGAGAAAGAGAGAAAACAACGTTTCGACCATGAAACCTTCTTCAGGTGAAAAAGGCTTCACAGACGAAACATTGTGTTTTCTCTCTTCTCTTTTCAGCATGGAATAAACCTATTTCTTTCGTTCCTTTGCAGACTATGCATGCTGATGCAGCTACCCACCAAAATGGATGGAAGGATGCATGGATGAAGAGATTAAATATAATTTTAAGAACATTGTATATATAATCTAACTAGTTCAGTGTTGATTCACACTTTCTGAAAATAAAATTGTGTTGATCGTTAAAAGACTACATTACCCATGGAGTATTTCACACTCCACTGGGTGGATGGATACACCAACGCAGCATAAAGTATACATTCAAGGGCCTTACGCAAGACTTTGGAAAGGGGCCTCTCCAGATCACAATCTGTACATACACTGCTATTATCAACTCCCACCACAACCTTATTTTACTGTTTAGTACAACAAAATAAATGAATTATTTAACTAGAAATTTCTTATTAAACCAGCTTTGAAGAACACTTAATAAATAACGTATAAACAAGAACACAAGGTACACATTTTGCAACATTGAACATTGAAAGTAATTAAAAGGAGCAATAACCATAAATAATTATAAACAGGATCTGTTACTTCAAAATTATAGCAAATCATAACTCAAAAAAGTACTGCACTGAAACCTTTCTAGAAAAGAGTTGAAATGAAATTAAGAAATTAAAAAAAACAACTGCACTTAATAACCAGGATGTGAGATCAGCAAGGCTGAGCAGACAGGAACATTTGACAAAAAAAATAAATTTGTCTATATTTATGTCCCCAGGTATGTTTTAATCAACCTGAGCTCTGAAAAGCTTCTCTCTTCTCCTGTTGCTGTTACTGGGAGAGTGATTGCAATCTGAAGAGCTACGGGTTGTTTTCTCAATACCCCCATTTAATGTACCACAGGAGAAACTGCAAGGAAAGCGATACGTTGTGATGACGATTACGTATAATTCGCTGAACAGTCTTTTGTACAGTAGATTTCACACTTATTTTTGGCTGGGAAGCACCGACTTTTAGCCAGACAGCATTTATTTAGCTGCACGGCATGGGTACAATTGCGGAAAACGTTAATCTGTTAATTTCTAGTAAAAAACACCTCCAGCAGTGTACATGTCTAAATCAAAAACATGCTATGTCTACCTATTTGCTAGTTACATGGATCCGACAAACTCAAAACCAAAAGAAATATTAATTATTACATCATTACGCATATTATTCATTATTAATGTAAAGCATACAGCGGACATTGCCGGTTGTGCAAACCATCTTACCAGGGCGGTGACGTCACTGCCCTTCCCTGTGAATAGCAGGGATCGCAGTCATTAGGCTGGGGGGAGATTTCTCTTTAGCTCAACTGGCTGGGTCCCTGTTGAGTGACGCTCGACACAGGTTCGACGCTCGACACAGGTTCGAGTCCCCAACGGTAGCGGGAGCGTATACCCACGTGAACCCGAGAGCATTACATTACAATGACTCAATTTTGCTTCCCTCTAGTTTGAGATCACTTAGCCCGCTCTTCTTTTCTGCGCTTCAGAAATATTACGTACTCGAATATGATCGGTCATCTTGTGACATGGGCTTCCATTAGGATAATCCAAAGCAGCAACAGAAAGAGGTGCTCTAGGGAATTTTTTGCTCACATTTGAACATGCGAATTAAAAATATGCTGTGTTGCACCTTGAGGGAGACCCCTGGCGGCCCTGGGGGCTAGGCAGTCACCTAGTTCGCCTGTGCTTAGGGCCGGCCCTGCCTCAGGCTCAGATCGTTTAGAGCAGTAGTATTTAGGGTAGAAAGGAATTTGAATTCAGAATTATTACAATCCTAACTAAAATTATTATAATCAGTACAGATTTGTAAAAATAAATACATAGCCAGCAGCTATATCACTTTGCAGCTGACAACTGGCAACCCACTGAAGCTCAGCAGTTGGGAGCCTGGCCTGCTGCTGTCTGAGGGACTTCCTGGGAAAGCTAAGATTGCTGTTGGAAGAGGTAGTGGGACCAGTAGGAGACACTCAACATGTGGTCTGTGTGGGTCCTAATGCCACAGTATAGTGACGGGGACACTATTCTGTAAAATAATGACTCTCTGTGATTATTAAAAATCCCAGGGCAGTTCTCATAAAGAGTAGGGGTGTAATCTCAAATGTGTTACGCCTAAAGTTCCCCATGGCCTTTACTGATCTTGGTCTCCTAATAATCTTCCTCTGTGAATTGGCTTCGTTACTCTGTTCTCTTCCCCACTGATTGCTGGGGTGTCGTAAGAGTACTGACGTCAGGCTGGTGTTACATGATCCAGGTGTGGGGAGTCCCCATTACCTGTAAAGCATTTTGAGTGGAGCTTCCAGAAAAATGCTATATTAGTGTAAGGAATTATTATTATTATTATTATTATTATTATTATTATTAATAATAATAATAATAATATTACTTTATATAAATAACACATACACAAGTACCAAGAAAAGCAAAATAACAAATTTATTAAGGATAACGAACAATCAACAGTTACATACAGAAAGAAACAGAAAGAAAAGGTTAATTCATGCAGCATGTGGTTTTAAATGCCATGGAAAGAGGCTGGCTTGTTTAAAGGCAAAAAATTATGAACAGTACATCATTAAGATGCAGGATAATCTTCAAGGGTCCAAAGCATGTGTAGGACATACATAGCTGCTACTCTGGGTTTCATCAAAGGTAATAGTACTGGGGGGATTAGTAAGACAGCAATAATTCCATATTCCCATGAAGTTTTGATTATACATCATCGATTATACAATCATATAAATAAGCACAAAAACTGAAAAAGAAAGGATTGACTTGATTTTTATGAAAATAACGCACAGCCAAATATATAAACAGTTTGTGCAGTGAAGATATGGGAGGCCTAAATTGTTGCACCAACAATAAAAAGGCAAACAGGAGTGATGAGGTGTCTGCCTCCCATTCTTTTTTCTTCTTTTCTTTGTTTTATATTCCTCCCTCTCACTCATTACTGTTGCACCAAAAGAGTCTAAGACAGCTAGAACATTTGGTGGTTTAAACATTTTCTTTAACACCTCATCTGGCAGTTCCACGATACTGTAGCTCATGTATTGATTTCTATTTACATCTTTTTTATTGATCAAATTATAATCTCATGTAACAAATATGCTTGATCAAAATATTATTGTCATATTGATTAAAATAAGTATTTGTAAGTACTCTAAAACAAGACAATTGGACATGTGTCTAATTTTCTAATGTTAAAATTCAAATGAATTGAAAGTAAACGTAGATGTAGCTAAAATGTTCTGAATGCATATGTGAAAACAATCGTACAAGGTGAATAAACCAGGCGACTATTCATTTTTGCTGTTTAATGATCTTGAGTTCAGAATAGGTTACATCTGCTTCATCCTGGTTTTCCTGATTTGGGATGTTTTTCTGTCTGAATCTAACAGCTAAAGAAAAAAAAGAAAATGTGTTTAGTATGAAGAATGTTTTAAGTGATTTGTCTTAGAGTTAGGGTTAGGTTTTGGGGCAGATCATCAAGATTTAATTTTAATGAGAATTTGTCACGGATGTATTTTGTACAAAATTAAATTAAAATTAATTGTTAATAATGATATTTTATGCACAACATTATTTTTCCACATTGCTTCTACCACCTGGGTACATTACCAATTGGTACCGTTAAATTAACATGCCTATGGTACGGTTTGAATTGAACAAAAAATCAAACCAGCACACATGTCAGATAATTTCAGGCAAATGATGCTTTTATAATAGATTTTATTCAGTTAATTTTTTAATATAAAGTAACATTAATCTGTAATTTTGCTAAGCAACATTAGTGTGAATGTATATAAAATGCTGTTCCTATTGTTTACAGTAATATATATTATATACTATACATATACTAGTAGAAGGTGAAATACAATCTTGTTAAAATAATTTCTGAAATCATTCTGTTAGAACGATTATATAGAATTGCAGTTGTGGCATGAGGATACCCTTTCAGAGAGACTAAAGACCTTAAAAAAACAAATATGCTTACTTGGAGTTTTCTGTTTTCGAGAGTAGAG